CAAGAGAGGTGCAAGTACATCAACAAATAACCAAGCACAATCTGAATTCTTTTTAGCAAGTGCAACTTGAGTTAATTGAAGTTGGTGAGCAAAGCAGTGGACAAAATAAGCTTCTTTACACTCATTCTCTATAAGAGTCCTAAGGCCATTAATAGAACCTTGCATATTACTTGCCCCATCATAACCCTGACCCCGTACTTGAGAGAAAGACAAAGAATGCTCCATTAATAAGGATTCAATAGCAGTTTTGAGAGTCAAAGAAGCAGTGTTTACAACATGCACAATACCAAGTAAACGCTCACACACTTCTCCCTTTCTATTAACATATCTCAAACAAAGAGCCAATTGTTCCTTGTCAGAAACATCAGCGGACTCATCAGCAAGGATAGAAAATAAGCCACCATCAATATCTTCAAGCATTGCTTTAGTGGTCTCTTTTGCACATGCATTTATGATATCTTTTTGGACTTTAGGAGAAGTAAGTTGACAATTACTAGGAGCATTTTTGAAAACAACTTTAGAATATTCAGGATTACCTTTGGAAATAAGGGATAAAAGTGAAAGAAATTTACCTCTTCTTAAGGAACTTTCTTTTTCATCATGACCACGGAAAGGCAACCCTTGGAGTAAAAGTCATTGGATAGATTCAATTGAAGCTTCAAGTCGCGTCCTATATGCATTTGTACTCTCAGCGGTTTGTTTTGTTAAGGCTTGTGTGATGCTTGAATTTTGTTTCTTGAACAAATCCATAGCTAAAACAGCATTATTATGTGCACTCAAGTGTTTACCGACATGTTTTCTTATTAAATCCGATCGATTCCATGATTTGAAACCATCACTAACAAAAGCATCACCTCCAAAGGCATTTTCATCCTTGAATAGATAACAAGGGAAACAATATGCAACATCCTTTTCCACACTATACTCAAGCCAAGTCCAAGTATCAAACCACTTAGCACAAAAGCGACGATTTTTGCCAAAAATAGAAGTTTGAGGAAATGTAAAGTCTTTGGGCCGACAAGGCTTTCTTTGAATGTAAATTCTTCTCACTAAATCTCTATCATCTTTATGAAATTGACTCATTTTTCTCCTCTTTCCTGGATCTTGTGGAAGATTAGCAAATTCATGTTCACTTAATCTTTCTCCAAAGATTGGGGCATTAGGAGAACATTGGCCTTGTTCATTTTGAGGGGAATTTTGAGTTGAATAATGAGATGGAGATGAAAGTTGCTCACTTTCTTGAGGTGGAGTTATAGTTTGTTCATTTTGTGTTGGATGTGGAAGAGAAGTTGGAGTAGGATTCTTTTTAGCAAAGAAGCTAGTAATGTTTTGCATTTCATTTGTAGTACGTTTTCTCTTCATTCTGAAATTTGAATAATTATTGAACTAAATCAAGCAATATTCCCCAGAAAAATTATTTGAATAAATATTCAACTAAATGGTCTAAATCAAGAAATTTCACATAATGACATAATCACATAAACAATTACACAAAACACAATTACACAAAACAGATTTCACATAAGTAATAACTAATAAGTTCAAGAGATTTCAATTACACAAAACACAATTACACAAAACACAATTACACAAAACACAATTACACAAAACAGATTTCACAAAAAAAATCAATTGATGATTAGTTGATTACCTACCTTGCGTCCTTGCTAGGCGGAGGCGAGCAGCGGAGCAGGCGGAGCAGCACTGCAATAGGGCCACGGGCAGTCAGCCAGCACCGCAGCACGGCAGTCGGCAGCACTCAAGTCTCAGGCACCGAGGCACGCACTCAGCAAGACAGCAATTCGCCAATTCAGCAGCACAGCCAACTACAAATTAACAAATCAACCAAAGTTTAAACCAAAGTTTAATAAAATTAACTAATTAGACTGAATTAATTTGAAGATTAGAAATTAAAAATAAAAATTAGAAATCAACTTACTAGCGAGTAGCGATTTCGAAATGCGATTATGCGACTATGCGAGAAGCCACGAAGAGGACGGAGTCCACGACCACCGACGTCCGACCACCAGGCGATTAGGCGAAGAGAACGGTGGCTGCCTGGCTGCCTGGCTGGGACGAAGCGAAGAGGCGAACGCCGCAAACTGAAGAATGGAGATGAGGCGAAGTCACGAAGAGAAGAAGGCTAGGGCTTGAAGTCTTGAACTGAATTCGTGTTTGGTTTTTTTGGGGAAAACTGATTTTAATTTTTTTTTTTTTTTTTTTTTTTTTTTTTTTAAAATAACTTAAAATTTTTTTTTGGGCCTGGTGAGTCACTTGACCCACCAGGTCTAAGCCCAAGTCCGCCACTGCTGGCATCATATCATCACTGTCAGATGTCTCAAATGCTTAATCACAAGATAAGAAAGCACTAGGGAAATTGGTGGATGTAAGCATAGTAATTATTCAATCACTCAAACTACGATGAATGACATGATAATTTTATCATAACAAGTGAATGAAAGTAGCCTAACCAAGTCATTTTGCACACAAAGACATGCGAATTCCCTACTCAATTAGTTTAATCCCGCGAAACTAATTGATGCTTTAGATATTGGATAAATTACACTCTGACCTAGCTCACTCTTACACAACTAGCTTAAAAGCGATACATAACTTGAGATTAATTAACTAGAAAAACCCCAAGGAATTAAACCAATTACCAACCATCATAAGGCATGCACAATCTATAATCAATCGTCAACATTTGAAATCAATCTTCACTATACTCTTCTTCTCCTCCCCTAGTTTACAACCTTGACTATAATCAAAGAAAAATTAAACACAAATTAAAATTAATAAGAGTAAGCAAGATCAACAAAACTATTCAGATCTAAACAAGGATTAACAACTAATTAGCATAACAACTAACAAACAAATAAACATTAAAACTAAGAAAAATAGGTAAAATAGAACACTAAATTAAGTGAAAGCAATAAAAAGGAAAGAATTTGAGAAATGCTCATTGATTGATGAATCTTCAAATCATTTTGTCACTAAACAATCATCCAAAAGCTTTAATCTTTCTTTGATTTCTCTCCCTTTATCCCTCTCTAAAAACCATAAACTAATTCTAATCCGGAAAACCTAAGAGAAAAAAATAAAAGAGAGAGGCCTAATCTAAGAGAGTAATAACCCAAAAAAAAGGGTTTTTATATTACAAGTCTAAATAAAAGAATTAAACTTAAAAAGGAAAAGGAAAAGGAAATAAAAGAAGTAAGAAGAAAAATAAAATGTAAGCAAAAAATAAATAAACAAAATAATATCTTCTGTTTTTTTGACACGTTTTGACTTTAGCACTATTCACACACTTCTCTTTGACCGTGTTTTGTGATTTATACATAATAAAAAAATATAATCATGTAGGATCTTGTTAAATTTGTCGCGATATATATTATCAAAATATCAAATTTATAATTATCGTTTATTGGCGATTAAAGATATTAATGGTTGAATTTGTGCATTGGCAAATGTGACTAAAGAAGCGTGCCAACTGAAAAGAAACGGAGAAAGTACAAAACAAAACTCATCAAACCCCCTCCCTGTTCGATTCTTTCGACTGCTCCCATTCACCTACACCAACCTCGCATTATCACAATCAAGCGGATCAAAGGCTTCATCACATGATAAGAAAGCACAGGGGAATTAGGGGATGTAAGCATAGTGATTCATTCACTCATACTACGTTACGATGACTAACATGATAGTCATATTAAGTGGACGGAATTAGCATAATCAAGTCACTTCTGCACATAAAGACATACGAATTCCCAACTCAATTAGTTCACTCCCGCAACTAATCAAGCTAGATGTTGGATAAAATACAATTTAGCCTACCTAATAACAATGCGACACGTTTCTAGGCTAATGTGTTTTTATAGGTTATGATCTTTTAATCCATTTAGAGTAGATGCGTGTCAAAGGTTATTTAACTCTAGAATATTCAAAAGGTCATTTTATTTGGAAGACTTGTGAAAGGACGTATTATTATTGTTGACAATTGTGACCTGAAATAAAGCGAAATTGTTTTATATTTAACTTTCTATTACATTAAAGAAAAATTGAAACCTCTGGCTAAATTGATTAATTATCATTACAGAAAAAGTTGTATTCATTTCATTTATTATATTCGATGCTACTTTGTATATTTTTTACACTTTCTATTTTAGTGTGATGCCTTTCTTATTTAATTCTTATTATATGTACTATAAATTTATCAAAATTTACATTTCTAGAACTTGATATTTTTTGTTGTTTCCTCACTATATTTAAATTAACTCTACTAAAGTTTTGAACATTGAACGTTACACAACATTTAATACATTTATTGTTTATATGAAAATAGTTATAATAAAACACCATATGATTAGGCATAGGACATTAGGGCCAATTACAAAAACTCTTTCCAAAATACTAGCCACATTGTGCGCATCAGAACCCCTAATTATATGTACATAAAAAAGAATAACTTGCTATAAATAGTAGTGAAAACTTACATTAAAACAGCCGATGATAGTCACTGGTTCAGGGCACTTGAATAAAATAGTGTGAGTATAATATTTTGCAGCAAATCGATTCCCTTATGAACAATACCCATTGAAATATATTTTCCGTATAAATTAGCGTACAAGATCAAAGTTTAGTAAGATTAGACAAGCAAATTAGATCAGATTAGAATGAATAAGTTCAAAAATAAAAAAGTTTAGATTAGAATAGATAATTACAAATAAATAAATTGAACTAAACATAATTTTAGTTCATTAATATTAATAATTTAATAACAAAACAACAAATTAATATTTAATAAGTTAACTTAATAAGCCCAACACCCTCAAGGGCGAATCGATGAAAGAGCGCCTCAGACATGACTAGCTATGGTGAGCGTACTGCGCGTGTTAGCCTTTCGGAAGTATGAACGTGATGGAATGCCCTTATTAAAAGAGGCTATAGTTTTATTTATTTATTCCGGTCTTTTGTTAATTCTTGGGGTGTCTCACATGTAGGTGATCAAAATGAAGAAGATGCTAAGAGTATCTTAGAGAAATTGTCACGTTGGGTGACACAAGAGGACTCTGTGTTGAAGCCTTTAGAGCAAGCTTTTTATGGTGGAATCAATGTTCAACATCTCATAGAGATGACTTTAAACTTCAACCTTGATCAACGAGTTTTGGCTATCCCAATCATTGGGACAAGAGCAACGGCTGCAGTTCAACGTGTTTATCACGACAATCGTGTTCGAAGTTCTTTTGAAGAAAGACATTGGGTGTGCATGTGTGACATGAACCATGGACATCCAAGTAAACTACTTGATCTAGTCTTTCGAAAGCAGACTTCTAATATAGACATCCTAAAGGATTTCCATTCCAATGTTGATGGCAAAAGATACTTGCTTATCTTAGATGGAGTAACACAGACTGGTCTTGGGTTTTTTCTAGAGGACTTGTTACGGGACGTTAGTCATGGAAGCAGAGTAATTTTAACTGCATCAAGTAAGGACAAACTTGGAATGTTGGAGCCCTTGAAGATGCCGGAAGGTGCCCCCATTGAATCAACTTCTATGCTACAAGAAGAAAAGGAGATTAGTAGCAAATACGCCGGTGCTTCAGGCCTTCTGAAGACAATTGCTTTCTTTCTTTCTTTTAAGCATACAGTACAAAAATGGGAGAATTTTGCTGATGATTTGATAACAAAATTACAAGATCTATCAGAATCTAGTTATTCAAAATTCAACCTCATAAGCTATGAAGATCTACAGTTGAAGATTCAGCAGTGTGTTCGTTATGTTTCATTGTTGCAGAAGGATTACGAATTTAGTAAGACAGATTTGATACATCTGTGGGCTTCTCAAGATTACTTATCAACTGATACAGGAAGGCCAGAAGAGTTGGTTGGTGAAGAATATTTTGAGAAATTACTCAATAATGGGTTTTTCTCTCAAGTCACTAGTAGAGATGGTGCTGTGGTTCAGCATTTCTGCAAGACGCACTACGTATTGAATGAGTTTCTCAAGAATGTGGCGAAAACTCAGTTTTGTTTGGGTGAGGAACCAACTAGGGAGGTTGATGATGCTAATATTTTGCACGTGAGCTTCGCTATTGAAAGTTCATGGGAAGCACCGAGTTGGCTGCTTAATGCTGGTAAATTGCAGTCCCTTATTTTCTTGCCAAGCAGATTACATAACTCGGTGAATGTCCCAAACTTGGAAGAAATCATTTCAAAATTGACAGGCTTACAAGCATTGGATTTGGTAGCAGTGAATTGTGAAAACCTTTCTCATTCCCTGGGAGAGCTTAAGCATTTGAGGTACCTCAGACTCGGTGTATCCTCAAAATGCCTCCCTGAGAGCGTCATAAACTTGTCATTGGTATGGTCATCTTCGTATTCAAAACCAGCCAACCTGGAAAAGTTTGATTACTTGCAGCCGCCTCATGGTCTCAGAAGCCTAGCAGTCTGCCATTGGAAGGGAGAAAATTTTCCCCTACAACTTATGTTTGGCAAGGCTGTTTTTGATAGCCTTGTTTCTATATATATCGAAGACTGTCGAGGATGCAAAGATCTACCATCTCTGAGTTCATTGCCTCATCTGAGATTTATTAAACTTTGGGACCTAAATGTCTTGGAATATGTGGAGCATGATGTTGATAGTGGCAACAATACAGGTTCTGATTCATCTACACTTAGACACTATTTTCCTTCTTTGGAATACCTGTTGTTGGCCAATTTACCAAGATTGGAACGATGGTCACGTAAGCAACAATACCCAATCCCTTCTCGTAATCTTACACTCTGTGTGAGCAATTGTCCAAAGATGTCATCGATGCCTCTGCTGCGAAGTCTTGTGTCACTAGAGGCACATGATATACATGTGAAGTTGCTAAAGCATCTCTTGTCAACTAGTGCAGGGCCGTCTCCTGGTGCCACGCTGAGGAAGCTGGAAATTGTCTCAGTTTCCCAACTTAAGTCCACTTTTCCAATCAGAAATCTTAATGCTCTAGAGTCCCTGGCAATCAGAAGATGTCCAGAACTCGAAGAATTGGTTTTAGGATCTTTGACATCTCTTCAACGACTAGAAATTCACGAATGCAATGGATTGGTAGACATTACTGTTGGAAACATGGACCAACTTTCTGCTCTTGAGACATTAGAAATCAAACATTGCAAAAAGTTGAAACTGTTAAACAGTTCAGAAGATTGGAAATGCTTCAAGAGCCTCCGCTTTCTGAAACTGATCAGTATCTTCAATTTAGAGTCACTTAAGAACGGCCTTTGTTCCTTGCATAAACTTGAGGGACTCTATTTGTATTCACTTTACGAACTGAGATCCCTTCCTGAGTGGATTGGCGACATCAAACAGCTCCGTTCACTTGCTGTTCGGAACTGCCCTTTCCTGATAACACTTCCTGAGTCACTTGGTAGCCTATCTACTTTGCAACAGCTTGATATACATTGTTGCCCAAAACTGAAAGAAATTCCGAAGTCTTTTGCTGACCTCAAGTCATTACAAAAACTTGTGATTCAACGATGTCCAAAGCTGTCCAAAAGATGCCAAAAGTCGCACGGACCAGATTTCCCTCTTATACAACATGTCCCTTACAGAGAATACTAGTAAGGATTGAGTATTCTTACTCTGTATATTGCTTTTTTCTCTTTGTAGTCACGCAGATCAAGAAGATAATCAAGTTACAATGTGTAAAGAAATATATTGTGTTAACACTTTGGTGAGATCAGTCAGATCACTGTTAGACTTGACCATTTGATCAAGTCCATAATCATGTTTTAGTGCCTATTCAAAGTGTATCTTCAACAGTAAGTTAATGCTAACCTTGAAACAATTGTAATAGTATTTAATTCTGAATATTACTGCAGTAATTTCTAACCTGAACCCCTGCCTAGTATTCTCACTTTTTGTTCTATGTTATTAAGGATACATCCAATTATTTGGCACCCACCCTTTGTTTTGAAATCTACTAATGATTGGCCTACTTAGTTAATATATATGTCAGATTATTCAGTTGTTCTACTATAATTACTCATATTGGTTGGTTAATTACGAAAAATTTAAAATAATTTTGCCCAATAGGCGTCAATCAAAGCGCACCTACTTAAGCATGTATAAATACGCTTGACAATGTATCATAGGAAGTTGGATTTGACATTTTAACCATTAGGGCCGGGACAATGGATAAATTAGGAGCCGCCAACAACATTTTAAGGAACTTGTAAGGCAACAACCAATTTTAATACATGAAGGTTACACCCCATTCATAATCCATTAGATTATTAACTTCATATGGGTCACGAACCACAGTTGGAGGATCTGGGACGATGATGGTACGAAATTGAATCGAGGGGTCAATTTCGCCTGTATTGGCCTCTACTCAATTTTTATTGCGAAAAGTATTATTTGCGATTCAAAAGACATAAAATCAAAGTTTAATTTGCTTTAAACTAACAAACTAGGTTGAATTTTTAATGCACATAAAATTTTAAATATTGTGATCACTTATTTATGTCTTCAAGATTAATAGAGAACCTACTTAATCCGGTTATCCAAATTATCTTATTAGGTGCGATTTTCATTTACGTATTTCCAATTAAACATGAAAAAGGGTGTTAAGAATAAATAAAAGTATATGACAAAATATTAAAAGCAACGTCATTATATTAATTAGCACAAATTAAATCATAAGCATGAAAATAATAAATATTAAAAATCCTGTATCATAATACTAACAAATTAAATAAGTTAAATAATTTACTTATGTTGCGCGTGCTCCTTTCAATTGTTATATCATGAATAAATTGTTAGTAACAATAAAAAAAATATTCCGTATAAATTAAATTGAAAGAATCAAATTAAAATAAAAAAAAGTTTAGATTTGTCCAAACTATCATAAATTCAACCTTTTACGCCTAGGTTTCAGAGTAGAATTCCAAGTATTGCAAAGAGATTTCAAATTATTTGAAAGAATAAGGATTAAGAGTATCAAAAGAGTAGAATAGACTGTTTTGCGGAAGAATTAGTGTCCGAAAACCTAGAAAAGAGTTCGGTATTCATAGGCTAGGTGACGGGAGGGAAATAAAAAAGGAAAAATAAAATTAATTGCCATGACACGGAAAAAGTATCATGACACGTTACTATGCACCGTGGCACGACTTGGCGTGTTGTGGCGCAGTGCTTTTGGTAAATTTCACTCATTTTTAAAACTTCCAGAACTTTTAATCAATTACTCGGATTAAGGCATAGATTATATCTTTGGAAAGATCTTGAAGTCTACTTTCCATCCCAATTAGAACTAGGATAGGTCTTGACTCAGTTGAGTGCAAGGGTGTTGGTTTTTGGCCGAACTTAAGTATTTTCCTCATATTTTCTTCGGTATAAATTAAAATTGGGCTTGTGATATATCGTTGGAAAGCTTATTTCAGTAGGCGAAAAATGTAAATCTGCACCGGTTCAAAACCCCCCTTTCGCGCCGGTTTTGAATAGGTGTAGATTTGAGGGGTGCTAAAAAAGAAAAAATTTTCGCACCGGTTCGGTTCAAAACCGGTGTGAAAAGTTCTCTAAAAAAATAAAAAAAATAAAGGAAATTGTTGCCAAAAAGCCCAAAAAAAATTATGAATTAAGATACAACGACCAAAAAAAAAATTATGCCTTACAAAAATAAAAACAAAAATTTGCATTTTTCCACTTAGACCACTATCAGCAGTGAGGAAAAAAAAAAACCTCTCAATCTCTCTCTACCCACTTTCTCACTCCTCCCATACAATTTCTCTCATCAAATGTTTTTTTCACTACATCAATGAGGAGAAAAAAACCGCTCATCACTTTTTCCTCCACTATTTACTATACCCCACCATAATACACATCATCTTTTTATTTTATCTTTATTTTGAAATAATGTTTATACTACATATTTAATTTTCCAATACAATTAAAATATGTGAAAATAATTTATTTTTAATTACGTTTAAAAATAATTTAATAAAAATGTATAATTTAATAACAATTTATAAGTTTTATATTTACTTTTCAATTACGTTTAAAAATAATATAATAAAAATTTATAATTTTTATATTTACGTTTCAATTATAACTTAATAAGATTGTTATTTATTTGTCAATTACTTTTTAATTATAATTAATAATATTTTTTTTATTTTTCAATTACGTTTTATTTATAATTTAACATTTGAATTAGTAGCACATTTTTGTAATGAACACATTAAATAGTCACATGGGAACTTCAATACCGGTAATACAAACACATGGGATGTTAAATAACGGTACAATTACGAACTAGATAAAAGTGGTTCTACTAAAATAAAATACAAACACGAGTATTAAAACATAAATAACGATACGGTTACAAATAACAAACTAAAAAATTATTTATTCAATCGCATTATGACGAAAGTTCTGCCATATGTGCTCCACTAAATCTTGTTTCAGAGATGAATGAATTTCTCTATCACGAAGGGAAATCCTTCTCTCCAAATACGTGTTGAAATCAATGTTGGGTGGTCGCCCGACGTTGAATTCAAATGGCTCGTTGTTAAACACCGTGGCACTTGTGCTCGGGTCTGCCCGCCTCACCGTACGTTGTGGTCGATCTTCTTCGTAGTATCGTCTCAAAACATCTGCACGTGCGTAGTTGTGTCGTTCATCCTCGACGATCATGTTGTGCATTATTATACAGGCTTTCATAATATCACAGAGAATATCTTCGTCGTATGCAAGTGCTGGTTGTCGTAGTATAGCGAACCTAGCTTGTAAAACTCCGAAAGCCCGTTCGACGTCTTTCCGAACTGCTGCTTGTTGATCAGCAAACAACTTGTCTTTTCTAACATGAGGATGTGTTATACCCTGTATAAAAGTTGGCCATCTCGGGTAAATCCCATCGGCCAAGTAGTAGCCCAACTCATATTGATGTCCATTAACCGTAAAATTTATGGGTGGTGCATGACCTTGTAAAACATCATCAAATACCGGTGAACGGTAAAGGACATTCAAATCGTTACATGACCCAGGCATTCCAAAGAACGCATGCCAAATCCATAGATCCTGATCAGCAACAGCTTCAAGAATGAGAGTTGCACTCTTGCTACGACCAGCATATTGTGCCTTCCAAGCAGTAGGACAATTCTTCCACTCCCAATGCATGCAGTCTATACTACCAATCATCCCTGGAAAACCATGCAGATCATTTTGATGAAGGATTCTCCTTAAATCTTCATCTGTAGGTTTTCGTAGATATTCACTTTCAAATTGTGAAATAACCCCTTGACAGAAATGTTGCAATGCCTGCCTAGAGGTTGTTTGGCCGAGACGTAAATATTCATCCACATCGTCTGCGGCTACGCCATACGCTAACATTCTTATTGCAGCGGTGCATTTCTGCAACGATGATAAACCAAGCTTCCCAGCTGCATTTCGACGTTGCTGGAAGAATTGATCCCCCTCAACCACTTTGCTCATAATGCGGCAGAACAATGACCGTTGCATACGGAATCTACGTCGGAATTGGTTGTCGTTATACACTGGATTATTCGCGAAATAATCGTTGTATAGTTGCACATGCCCTTTTTCTCTTTCCCTATCCCTTTTGGGCTCCGTTGATAGTCCAGTTTCATTATTTAGTGGAGGTTCTTGTGGTTGGTCTAGAAGAAGTAATCTATGAGGTAGGTGATTTGCTACATACTCATCAACTAAGCAATCAAATTCATGATTTTTGGAGAAATCATCAGAAGAGGAGCTTGAGGTAAAAGAAATGAAAGACATTTTTATTTTGGTTAGGTAGTTGGTGTGTTTGGGATTGTTTCCGTTTATAATAACACGAATAATAATAATAATAAAAATGATGAAAATAACTCAAAGAAATTGGGAAAAGAAGGAAATTTGTAGTATTTATGGGTTTTTTGAAAGTATATCAAAATATATCAAAATGCATGTCTATTTATAGAGGAAAAAAAAATCTATCCGTTGGTGAATTTTGTTTTTTTTTTATAATTACAATGGTTATATTTACCTTACAAAAATATAACCGTTGTAATAAAAGCAAAAAAATCTGATTGGTTGGAAGGACAAAGCCTGACGCGTGTCGCATCCCCATTGGCTGGGTCTGACGCGCGTCAGGCCAGCTGCCCCCTTATTTTTTTCCCTTTTTGCCCCTCAAAACGGCGTCGTTTCGCCCTTCTTTAAGGCAAAACGACGTCGTTTTGCAAGCTAGAAAGGAAAAAAAAAAAGGGAAAGCAGCGTGTACATGTGGGGCCCACCGGTTACTGTTCACGAGTATTTCCCCTCAACTCTTGTGCGTTTTCCATAGCTCTCAACGGTGAGGGTTTTTTCCCTCACTAACGTAATGCTCGGGTATTTTTTTTACACCTTTATTTTTACTCGTGAGGGCTTTTTTCCTCACTGACAAATCAACACACAATTAACAACAAAACACTAGAATCGTAATATACATTAATCACATATATATTCATCCAAATAAATTGTTATATATATATATATATATATATATATATATATATATATATATATATATATATATATATATATATAACTGCAACAATGAACAACGAAACACCAAAATCTACATCTTCAATCCTTTTTTATGTGCAGTATCACCATACTCGCATCTAATTTTTGCAATGATATCATTAAGGACCTAGAAATTATCATCATATACTACTTGCATCAATTAAAACACCAAAATTAGTAAAACCCACAAGATCTAGTAATTATAATCCAAAGAACAAAGAAATATCAACTATCAGAAATTTCAAAATCGAAAAAATCCAGAAAGTTTGAACCTAGAAAAACCCAAAAAAAAAACCCAAAAATTTCGAATTCAGAAAAACTTAGAAATTTTGAACTCAAAATCCAGAACCCAAAAATTTCGAACAAAGAAAAATTCAAAAATTTTGAACTTAAAAAAACCCAGAGAAATTTAGAACCCAAAAATTTAAAAACCCAAAAATTTCGAATTCGAAAAAATGCAGAAAGTTTGAACCCAGAGAAACCTAAAAATTTCGAATTCAAAAAAACTTAGAAATTTTTAATTCAGAATCTAGAACCCAAAAATTTAGAACCCAGAAAAAACTAAAAATCCAAATTGGAACCCAGAAAAACCCAGAAGAAATCAGAAAAACATAGAACCCAGAACCCAAAACCCAAAACCTAAAAACCAGAAATTTCGAATAAATTACATCAATTAAACCCAAAAAATTCAACAATTACGTCAATTGAACCAAAACGAAAACCTAAAGAACCCAAAAACCCCAACCTCAAATTTCTGATTTTCAAATCGAAAATTCATTCAAGTTTGTTGCGGTTGTGCTTGGTTCTAATGACGGTGGCTGATGCTTGCATGGTTCGAATAATTGACAGCGGAGGCGGTGAAGGCGAAAATTGTTGTGCTTGGTTTCGAAAATTGTTGTGATTGGTTTCGAAAATTCAACTAAGGAATCTAAATTGAGGAAGAAGAAGATAAGAGAAGAACGAAAGCTTAGGGAGAAGGAGAGAAGAACGAAAGCTTAGGGAGAAGGAGAGAAGAACGAGAGCTTAGAGAGAAGGTGAGAAGAACGAGAGATGAAAGAGAAGGAGAAAAGAACGAGAGATTAGAGAGGAGAGAAGAAATAGAGAGACGGATGAGAGAAAGAGGAGTTGAGGGAGTATAATTAAAGGGTTTAGAAAATTTAAGGGGCACCAGTATTTCTTTTTTTTTTTTTTGTTTTTTTTGTTTTTTAATTTGCACCAGTTCAAACCAGTGCGAAAAATATAATTTCGCACCGGTTTGGTTGGAATTGGTGCGAAAAGTCTTTTTCTCAATCCCGCTCATTTCTTTTACCACTGGTTTTCAAGAACCGGTGCGAAAAGTGCGCTGCCTATTTCATTTTTTCTACTAGTGTTTTACGGCCTATTCAACAAAATAAGATTTGAGTCAATGTTATGGGCCACAAAATTCAAATTTACTCGGTGTTGGACTAAGGTCATCGAAAAGAGAAATTGGGCTATGATTGGTGGATTTTGGGGTCGAAAAAAAGTTTGAATGGATGTTTGGGTTAGGAATGGATTGAATCAGGTGGATTAAAATAAAAATGGGTTAGGATTTCAAGCAATTCTTAATTCCGATGCGGAACTTGACCACTTTGCGTTAAAAGGTCGTTCATCATTGAGTTTGGATGGAAGATACACAAATTAGGGTACCTATTCCGATAACCATAACGATTTGGGTACTCGATCCGATAATTTGTTATCAGGTACAGTTATTGGGTATCATTTTAAAATTAATGGTCACCCGATCCGATCCGATAAGCAATTTTTTCTTTTCCTACTTAAATCTATTCATCCAAAATCTAAACTCTTACTTTACTTCGTAATCACTTCATAATTTAAATGATTAGTAATTATTAGTAATTTGGTCATGATCATGTAGTATTATTGTTGATTAGTGTTGAAAGATATCATATTAACTATATTATAAAGTCTAAATTTTCATTATTGGATATCATATTGGGTATCCGATGTCCGATCCGAAAATCCGGGTACCCGAAGTTTGGGTACCCAAACTTATTGGTTCGGGTAATGGATATCATTTTTAGTGTTATTGGTTATCGGGTACCCAAACCGATAATGTTAACGGCATGGATACTCGACCCATGCTCACCCCGGCCTACTCTATAGGCCTCTTTTCCTTGCAGCATGAGTGAACCCCAACCTAGTTACTCATCATACGAGAAGGCTAGATTGTATTGCTGGAGATGACAATGTTGCAATAGCTTCTAAAATTGTTGCTTTTTTTTTCTATGTATATAGAACAATTACTCTATTTTGTTTAGTTCTTAAATTGTACATTTCTTAAAAATTTTGTTTCTTCTCCATTATTTCTAGATATACAATATATGGTTGGTTTCATATGAGGTTTGACCCTGTATCAAGGCATTAACTACCCGAGCCCCACCCCGAAATAGCCCTCCTCAGCCTCATCCACAAAACCGCCCCATTCCTCAACCCCACCCATAAAATCAGTTTGTGGGGTTTTTTTTTATCCAAGTCTTTGTGATGGCTTTAAGCCGTCGTAACCAACCTTAATTACGACAGTTTTGAGCCGTCAATAGTTTTTGAAAGCTTTAATTTGTCGTAAAGTTAGTTACAACGACGGTTTTGAAGCTGTCATTGTGTCGTAAATTTCCTTTGCAACGAGCTTCATTACAGTGACTAGCCGTCGTTACCATTATTTACGATAGTTTTAGGTATTTTCAACGGCAGTTTTTTGTTGTCGTAATAAGTCTTTTCTAGTAATGTCATACATATCAGGTATGTACCCAGACACCCAAGGCCAAAGGTAGAAAGTACAGAAGAAAGCTAATGAGATCAGTTTTTTATGAAAATAATAACATATATTGAAAATGTTATATATCAAATATTGAAGTGTTGATATTTGATATTAACATGCTCATATCAAATATTAAATTGTTCATTTAAGATATTAATGGTTGATATCATTTATTGAAATGTTGATATAAGATATTAAAAGGTTGATATCAGATATTGAAGTGTTGAAAATCAACGAAGCACGGACACTCGTAAGTTCAGGCGTGTCCGAGTCGACACGCGTGTCGGACACGGACACGCGTGGGACACGGGGCAAAACGTCTCGGACACTCCAAAAACCGTGTCCGGTTTATTTTTGACGTTTTTGATTTTTGGACACGGGCCGTGTCACCCTTAGACACGGGCCGTTTTGGTATGACACGGGAAATAACCTAAAGTCTTGCTCTCTGCTTTGCCTCTCTGCCTCCTTGCCTATTTCCACTTCTCGATTTCTCATCTTCCTCTCTGCCTCACGCGAAATCAGTCATCACCATTGTCATCACTCAGTCACTGTCGTCGTTGCTCCACCCACCACCCACCACTCCACCGTTTGCATCAACACAGTCAGCTGTCGTCGTTGCTCCACTGTCGTCGTTGCTCCACTGTCGTCGTTGCTCCACGCTTGGTGTCACTCAGTCACTGTCGTCGCTGCCTCTGCCTCATTCAATTGCCGCTGTTCGTCCTCAGCCACCACCCACCACTCCACCGTTCTCATTGTCGTTGCTGACTTGCTGTCCCAGACTCCCAGGTATGGTTCTCAACGTTTTTTTTTTTTAAATTCAATTAATTTTCTGCATTTCAGTTTCATGAATCATGTAATTAGAAATTTAGAAGTTGAAGCTGAAGGGTAATTGGATGTCTCGGACGAAATTTGTGGGTATCAAAGAAATTTTGGTTGAAATTGAAGAAATTTTGTAAGGGATTTTATAGTATAATAATAATAATTGAGTTTTTGGAATCTGGGTTTGGTGAGCATGTGCACAAGAATACCTCATACACTTCTTTCTAAATTTGTGAAAAGTTAGATTTTTTAATTTAATTAATTTTATTTAAATGTATCTTCTTTGAGATCAGTGGAATATTGCTTCTGGATTATTCTTTTCATTTGTGTTTATTAAATGTAGCATGTGGATCCTAGGGTTTTGAAGATGCAATGTTCACTGTGTCTTGATTCCTATTGTTCTGGGATTTGTGTAATTATGTTTGCTTTTATACTTGGAGCTTTGATAGCATTTATCTCCTTCATATTTGGTTGATTAAAGAGTGTATTACCAACGTGAATGACGAGGCTTTATAATTGTGTTATTAAGCTTCTTTGATCTGGTTTTATTATATAAGAAAACTTTGATGCTTTGAGAGAAGTTTCTAATTTTAGTTTTGATTAGTGGTTCTATAAGTAGAAAATTCAGTTTTTGTGGTTCTTGTTGTTGCTAATTTTGCTGTGATGTGAATAATGTGTTTTGTTGGACTTGTTAGGGTTAATCATGACTATCTTCATTGATATAAACTAGTGTATTTGGTTTGATGGTTTCTTGATATGTATGAGACTATGTCCGTACACTTAGTTCATTTACTTGTTTAATTAAAATTGTGTGTTTTGAGGCTAATTATTTAGTGTTTTATTGAATTAGTTGTCAAATTCTCGTTTTTTTAATATATTATATGACTTGTTATACGCCGTACCCGTGTCCCCTATTTCAGGATTGCCGTTTTCCCGTGTCCGTGTCGTGTCCGTGTCCGTGTCCGAGTCCGTTTCCGTGCTTCCTAGTTGAAAATGTTATATAAAATTATCTATATATGATGTATAAAAAAAAAAATCAAAATATGATATAAGAATACAAAATCAAATAAGAAAAAAAAAATTAAAATGTGAGTGTATAAGAATCTCAAAACCTACTATAAAATGTCAGGTTTGAATGTAGAGAAAGTCAAAATATGATTAAAGAATGTCAAAATATGATGTAAAAATCATCTAAATCGAATATTAAAAAAAAAATTCTAATAATATTTTTTTAAATTATGATATAAAAGAGTCAAAATCTCATAATGTTGGTATACCTAAATCTAATCTAATATTATATATATAAAGTAGGCATTTTTTAAGAGCATTCGGTGTGCCACATAAGCAAAGGTATATTTTCGACCAATTAAAAATTAGATTTTTATTTTATTTTGGAATTAAAAAATTCGTTTTCCACCTAAATAAAAATGACGAATGAGATTTAAGAATCCACATAAGTAAAAACAACAAAATTGATTTTTTAGGATTTAATTTATTTAAAAAACTAAAAATTATATTTTAAAATAATCATCTTTAGATATAGGATTTATATACCTACTATTATAAGATAAATTTTGATAGTGTTTATGATAAGAAATAAAAATTATTCCTTAATGATAATTAAATTAAAATTTGTGATACTTACCATTATAAATTGACACATCATACGACACCAACAAAATTTCGTATCAATAAAAAACCAAACCAAGCAAATTTTATGTCATTAATTTTGTGTCAATTTTATTAGGTCATCAATGGCTGAGTAATTCTAAGCCTAATTTTTAAAACCCATGTTTAAATGTATATTTGTGATTATTGCTTAAATTGTGTTTATTTGGGATACTTAATATTATATGTTTATGTTTGTTTACTGAATTTTGTTTTTACATGCAGATCTAATTTAATCATAGAATTATATTCGAGCAAAGATCTTTGGAATATCAAAGTACGAGTTTCTCGCCTGATGGTCCTATTGGATGAGGAGGTATTATATCTTTATAAATCGTTTACATTTATTTAATCTTGTAATGAACCTTTTAGTTTTTATCAATTTATTCTATGATTAAAACAAATTTTTTGTGATTTAGGTAGCTTAATTAATTCATAAAATTAATTTAATTTTTAATTTTTAATTATATGGTTATTACATTCATACCTCAATTAAAGTCAACTTTGTTCTACAATTTTGTTCAAAATTGATTGAAGGAAAAAATTTACTCCATTAGATACTTTTCAGTCGTTACAAATAAGAAGCAATATTGCACGCATTGTCAGCGACAATAAAATAATGATTCAATTTTCCAAAATACTAATGTTTGGGCAATTGGGGAAAAAATTCCAATGCATAGATTTAATTTTGTATAATTACAATTTTTAGATTAATTTCATAACAATTATTAACTTTTTGGTAAATAATTTAATTTATTTTATAAGACTATAAAGATTAATTTTATATAAATTTTATTTTTGCTAACATGTTCTACTTATCCACTTTTATTAGATGGAAGAGATATCAGTGTGAACAAAGTTGGTAATCCTATCGAAATTTTTTTTAATACAAATTTTTTTACATCGAAATATTACATCTAAAAACTATAATTTTTAATGTTCAAAAATATTATGAGTATGATCTAATTAAAAAAATTATTTTTATGAGATTTTATGTATAAAAAACCGTGGGATATTAGGATTTAAATTATTAAAGAAAATAAAATTTATCTTATGAAATTAATGGTTTTATCTAAATACCCGATTAATAAGATGTTTTTTCATAAAAAAAAATTAAAACTTTTAACGCAATAAAAACTTTACCTTCTTTAAACATTTTATGTCCAAAAATTTGAAAAGACAGATAATTTGTTAGACATCAAGAGTTCACAAGAAATATACAAAATATAATATAAATAAACAAAGCAAGCATTTTTTGAGGGCATTCTGAGCGCCACGTAAGAAATATACTTATTTCGACCAATTAGACAAAAGATTTGTATCTTATTTTTGAATTAAAGTATTATGTCGCCACCTAGATAAAAGTAACGAATTAGATTTGATATATCTAAAATTTTAATGCCAAGTAGATTATAATAATCCCTTATTATATTATTTTAATGAAAAAAAATAAAAATATAGGAAAAGATAAATTTATAAATTCAATACTACAAGTATAAGAAATCCAAAAAAATATACTAAAAATATTTAAATGATAAACGCTTATAATAAAGTTTGATACCTATCATTATAAGATAAATTTTGATAGTATTTATGATAAGAAATACAAATTGTTCGTTAATTATAATTAAATTAAAATTTGTGATACCTACCATTATAATTTGACACATCATACGACCAAAATAAAATTTCGTATCAATAAAAAACCCATCAAGCGAATTTTGTGTTAATTTTTTGTCATCAATGGCCGGGTAATTTTTAGCTTAATTTTTAAAATCCTATGTTTAAATTAGTATTTCTAATTGTTAATTACATTGTATTAATTTGGGATACTCAACGATTATATGTTTATGTTTTATTTACTAAATATTTTTTACTTGCAGATCTAAAACATCATACGACACAAATAAAATTTCTTATCAATACAAAACCTCATCAAGCGAATTTTGTGTAAGTAATTTTGGATTAGTTTTAGGTCATCAATGTCCGGGTAATTTTTAAAATCTTATGTTTAAATTTATATTTGTAATTATTAGTTACATTGTATTTATTTAGGATACTTAACGACTATTTGTTTATGTAATGGCATACGATTAGATGTTGTATACTTAATATATGGATGGCTTTGGTTATTTTTGGAGATAATGAAAAAATTCCAATGCATAGATTTGATTTTATATCGCAACAATTTTTCATTTATTGGTAAATATATTGATTTATTTTATATAAATGTAAGGATTTAATTTATATGAATTTCAATTTGGCTAACATTTCACGGTTCAATTTATCCATTGATGTAGTAGGTTGGTTGTGGACGAGGTTGGTGATTATATCGAAATAAAAGATATGGTAAAACAATGAATAGTGATTTAGGATTTAGATTATTAAATATTTATCATTTCACATTAAAGATTTTATATAATGGAAAAAAATTTCATATTTACAATTTATTTATATTTAAAAAATTCATTATAAATTTTAGTAAAAAAAACAAATATTAAACTTTTGTAATTTTGTCTGAAATTACAAAATACAATAAATTATGTAATTAAAAATCTTAGATGAAAAAACCATAATATAATTATTTCGACCAATAAGAAGAAAGATTTGTATTTAATTTTTTAATTAAAAAATTATGTCACCACCTAGATAAAAGTAACGAATTAGATTTGATATATCTAAATTTTAATGCCACGTAGATTATATATAATCCACGAATTAAATTATTTTAATGAAAAAAATAAAGCAAAAATATAGGAAAAGATAAATTGTTTAATTCAATACTACGAGTATAGGAAATCCAAAAAAAATATAATAAGAAATATTTAAATGATAAACGCTTATAATAAAGTTTGATACCTATCATTATAAGATAAATTTTTACAGTATTTATGATAAGAAATACAAATTGTTCGTTAATGATAATTAAATTAAAATTTGTGATACCTACCATTATAAATTGACACATCATACGACACAAACGAAATTTTGTATCAATAAAAAACCCCATCAAGCGAATTTTATTTTAGTAATTTTGTGTTAATTTTTGGCATGCAATGGTTGGGTAATTTTTAAAATCCTATGTTTAAATTAGTATTTCTATGTTTACCAATATTTTTAAACAAATGAATAGTATTTCTATTTGAACATAGGATTTTAATTTATATCAAACGAGATTGGTGATTCTATCGAAACAAAAGATATGGTAAAACAGTGAATAGTGATTTAGGATTTAAATTATACAAAATTTATCATTTCACATTAAAGATTTTGTATAACGGAAAAAATATCATATTTACAATTTATTTATTTAATAAATTCATTATAAATTATAGTAAAAAAAAAATAAATATTAAACTTTTGTAATTTTGTCTAAAATTATTAAATTCAATAAATCAAATAATAAAAAATCTTAGATTAAAAACCGTGCATCGCACGAGCTTCCATCTTAAATGATAAACGCTTATAATAAAGTTTGATATCTATCATTTTAAGATAAATTTTGATAGTATTTATGATAAGAAATACAAATTGTTTGTTACTTATAATTAAATTAAAATTATTGATACCTATCATTATAAATTGACACATCATACGACACAAACAAAACTTAGTTCAATAAAAAAACCCCATCAAGAGAATTTTGTGTTAGTAATTTTGTGTTAATTTTTGGTCATCAATGGCTTTAATGCTTATATATAGCCCTAATTTTATACAATTTTCAAGAGTGATTTTAAAAAGTTTATTTAATGATAATAATAATAATAATAATAATAATAATAATAATAATAATAATAATAATAATAATCTAATCTAATATTATATAAATAAAATAGGCATTTTTGGAGGGCATTCGGAGCGCCACTTAAGAAATATACTTATTTCGACCAATAAGAAGAAAGATTTGTATTTTATTTTTGAATTAAAAAATTATGTCTCCACCTAGATAAAAGTAACGAATTAGATTTGATATATCTAAAAATTTTAATGCCACGTAGATTATAATCCACAAATTAAATTATTTTACAGAAAAAAAAAATAAAGTAAAAATATAGGAAAAGATAAATTTATTAATTCAATACTACGAGTATAAGAAATCCAAAAAAAATATACTAAGAAATATTTAATTGATAAACGTGATGTATTCATTTTATATAGTATTTTATCCCCGTCCCATGATCATATTTAGGAGTATTTTTTGCTCTTCAGAGCCAATTTTATTACTAATATGTGTTTTCGTAGTTGTGGTATTATTCTACTAGAAACTGCAGATTTGGTGCATTTCCCGGCATTTAGTTGAGCCACCGCGAACATTGGAGTTGAAACGTATTTATATGATCGTGTTTCGAAGCCCAAGACCGTAATTGATGATTCAATCCGGTGATTCAGGGCTTAATGAGGAGATTTGGAGCTTGGGCAATTCGATCCAAGAAGGATGACAAATTGGGCTAAGGTAACAAGGCCCAAAGGACGAAGAAGAGTAATCCCAAGCATTCGCCCGACCGGGCAGTGCCCTCGCCCTGAGGCGCGCCCGGCCGGGCGAGAGGAGAAGGCCAGGGCATGCTTCGCCCGGATGCGCGCCCGACCGGGCGCGAGCAAGGCATTTAGTGTGAAGAAGGCGCGCCCGGCCGGGCGGTGCCTCGCCCGACCGGGCGCGTGTTTTATTAAGATGTTTTAATTTATTTTATCTTTTTCTTTAATTAGCTTTAAGAGTTTTGTATAAATACGCTTTTGTTAACTTCTTTCTCTCTCTCTTTCTCTCTATTTTTCTCTCTTACTTTCTCTCTCTGCACTTCTTCTCTCTACACACTCTTGAGTATTATGCAATTAATTATTTTCCATTTATTTTGGTAACGATTTCTTCTCTCTTTACTCTTAGTAATTTAATTGCTTTGATTTAATCATGTCTTGTTTATTTATTATGTTTAGTTTAGATTCAATTATGTCAGAGTAGATTTCTATTCTAGGGTCGTGGGGACCCATGAATAATACGAAGGGGTAAATTATTATTGTTTATTATTGATGATTGATTAATTTCCTATTGATTAATTTAATGCTATGCAATTAGATTAGGCCTGGTTTAATTGCATGAGTATAGCAATATTGATTCGAGATTCGACAGATGAGAATTGATGTTTAGGCTTAGTTTCAATAGGCATGTTAATCTATTAATGGTTAGGTCGAGATTCGAGAGATGAGATTTAATACCAGTAGATTAATTATGTGACTATAATACGTAGCTACAGCCCTTTATAATCTGGTTAATTTATGCATTCATATTTGATCGTATGTTTTACCCTGGAGTATTATTTATTGGTGAACCTATACCCTATAGCTTTTTATTATTGATTATCTCCTTAGATTTATTTGTTTAGCTTCATTATTAGTTTAATTCCCATAAACACAAATTTGGTTACTTGGTAATTTAGACTATAATTGTTAATTAGGAATAGAAGAATCTTGTTTCCCTGTGAATTCGACCCTACTTCCCTATCTACTTTAGTTAGAGGACTTAGGAATTACTTTTGATTAGGTGATACGACTTAAGCCTGTCAAAACGTTTCTAATAAAGTTTAATATCTATCATTATAAGATAAATTTTGATAGTATTTATGATAAGAAATACAAATTGTTCGTTAGTTATAATTAAATTAAAATTTGTGATACCTACCATTATAAAATGACACATCGTACGACACAAATAGAATTTTATATCAATAAATTAAAAACCCCATCAAGCGAATTTTGTGTTAATTTTTGGTCATCAATGGCCAGGTAATTTTTAGCTTAATTTTTAAAATCCTATGTTTAAATTAGTATTTCTAATTATTACTTACATTGTATTAATTTGGGATACTCAACGATTATATGTATATGTTTTATTTCCTAAATGTGTATTTAAATGCAGACCTAACACGTCATACGACACAAATAAAATTTTTTATCAATACAAAACCCCATCAAGATCAGAGAATTTTGTGTTAATAATTTTGTGTTAGTTTTAGGTCATCAATGTCCGGGTAATTTTTAAAATCTTATGTTTAAATTTATATTTGTAATTATTAGTTACATTGTATTTATTTAGGATACTTAACGATTATTTGTTTATGTAATGACATACGATTAGATGTTGTATACTTAACATCTGGATGACTTTGGTTTTTTTGGAGATGATGAAAAAATTCCAATGCATAGATTTGATTTTATATCGCAACAATTTTTCATTTATTGGTAAATATATTGATTTATTTTATATAAATGTAAAAGTTTAATTTATATCAATTTCAGTTTGGCTAACATTTCACGGGTCAATTTATCCATTGATGTAGTAGGTTGGTTGTGGACGAGGTTGGTGATTCTATCGAAATAAAAGATATGGTAAAACAATGAATAATGATTTAGGATTTAAATTATTAAGAATTTATCATTTCACATTATGGATTTTATATAACGGAAAAAATATCATATTTATAATTTATTTATATTTAATAAATTCATTATAAATTATAGTAAAAAAAATAAATATTAAACTTTTGTAATTTTGTCTGAAATTATTAAAAGTCTTAGATGAAAAAACCGTGCATTGCACGGGCTTCCATCTAGTGATATATAGATTTGAGAGTTTAATTTCAAGTGTAAAAAGCAACAAATAATTATTTAGGATTTAAATTATTTTAAAAATAAAAAATTATTATCTTTTTACATTAAAGATTTTATCCTAATATGTAATCAATGAAATACCATACTTGCAATTTTTTTTTATTTTTTTTTGTTTTTGAAAGATATCATATTATTGTCATATAACTAACAACAACGAATAAAATACAAAACAACAATAAATTAAGTCGCATTATAAATTCCATTAAAAAAAATTATACTTTTGTAATTGGTAATATCATTTTAATTAAATTATTATTTGTTTTTTTTTTGTTTTTTTTTGTCTGAAATTATTAAATTGTAAAATAAATCAAATAATTATAAAAAAATAAAAAATAAAAAAAACACTTAGAGTATATAGGAAATATCTTTTCTTGAGATATATGTACGAAAAATCGTGCATCGCATGGGCTTTCATCTAGTATGATATAAAAGAGGCAAAATATGATATGTAAAAATCAGAATCTAGTGTGGAATGATTGAAATCTAATATGAATGGAAAATTAAAAAAATATGATGTTTTTAATATGATACAATTTAAGATAGAAGAATTCTCTTAGAGAACCTTTTGCATGAGACCGGACTCACCGTGAGTCCAATATATCTGACAAAAATATTTTAATATACAATAATATTCTAATATATGACATTAATATTCTTATATCTGACAATAATATTCTAATATATATATGACATTAATAATCTAATAATTTATTGTCAGATATTAGATTATATATTAATGTCAAGATTAATGTCAGATATTAGAATATTAATGTCATATATTAGAATATTATTGTCAATAATTAGATTATTATTATTAGATATATTGGACTCACTGTGAGTCCGACTCACCCAATTATTTTTTATTCTCTTAGGTCTAAATATGATGTCATTATATATTGACTCACGGGTGAGTTAGGTTTCACATAATACCTACTCAAATTAATTACCCTCTTATTTTTTTAACTCACTAAAATTGCAGCTATCTCAAGAATAATTCACTTGGCCTTCGACTCCTTCATTAGTCATTGCAGCATGGTTTTTGATTAGGGGATTTTTATCCACCAATCACCGTTTGACAAGTGGACCAACCAGGTTCCGCCACGTGTCCTTCACGAAGGCCAATAGGAGCCTGCCACGTGTCAGTCACAGATACGTCCTCTACGGACCAATCGAGGCACGCCACGTGTCCACCCATGCCAAATGGGAAAACCGGCCATCAAGGCCCAGTCCAGTCTAGAGGCCCTAGTTTTGTTGGTTGTTGCTAGCGTGGTGGTCTTGAGTTGTTTTGTTCTCATCTTTGTTTTCATGAAGAATTTCCAAAAGATCAACCTATAAGAAGTGCAAACCAAATTAGACTAAAAAATTACTTTTACTATTTTTAAGTTAGACGAAATGAATACTTCTACTTTTTTTTCGGGCAACGTTGAGGATTCAACGGTTGTCCTTACATATTTTATAACATTAATATCTTAAATTATACGAAATATTTAGTAATTAACAATTGGAAACTTTTTTTTTTATATATATTTACAAATTATAATTTAAGACGATTCTAACAAGATCTCACATTAGTACATTTTTTCTAATGTATAAATCATAAAAGATAATCAAATAAATGTGTATATTATTAAATAGTGTCAATTTCCAAACATAGCGATTAAAAAAAATGGAGGAAGTATATTTTCATAACACATTTTTTTTAGGAAAAATTCATGGTAATAATCCCACCTTTAAGCCATTCGTTTTTAATAATCTCACCTTTGAGATATTTTTTAATAATCTGACTTTTACCCCCTATTCTTTTTTAATGGTCCCAGGTGACCAGTAACCGGTTGAAGAGGTAATTTTTTTTTTAAAAGCTTAATTTACACGTGTCGTTACTTAATTGGTCAAAAATTAAAAAAAAAAAAATAAAAAAATAAATAAACAAAAAATCAGAAAACTTCTTTTCTCCTACCATATTCCTCCTACTTTCTGATCTCTCCTCCCTCCTACCATATTCCTCCATTACCACCACCCAAAGCTCACCCTCTTCTTTCTTCCTCCTCCCTCAACCATGCCCCTTCCCCCCGAAAGACCTGTCGCCCCCCTTTCCCACAGCCACCTTGCTGCCCCTCCCCTTCCCCTTAGCCACCTTGCCCTTCATCCCCGAAACCCTTGTTCACCTTTGAGGGTAACGGAAATCGAACCCCCTCCCTTCTCCACTTCCAAAACCGGCCCACCCCAGAATTCGGGCACCCTCTCTTTCTCTCTCCCTTCCCCACTGCCGAACTGGTGGTCCTTCACCACTAAAACACCGGTTTCGAGGGGTGGGGGAAAGAGAGGGGTGTGGATTTATAGGGTGAGGGTTTAAGGTGGTTTCGGAGTGGGGGATTCGAGTTAGGGGCGATTTCGGGGGTGGGGCTGGAGAAGGGGGTCTGTTCTGGTCAAAAGGTTGTGGAAAGAGGGTGGTTTTAGCGGTGGGGCAGGGGGAAGGGTGGTTGTCGAGGCTGAGGCAGGGTAAGGGAGTGGCTGCCGGGAAATGGACGTGGGTGGGGAGTTCAGTTCAGTCGTTTCCTTGGTGGTGGTTGTGATGGAGTGATCATGGAGGAAGAGATAGGAGAGAGAGAATTAGGAGGGGAAGGGGAGGGAGAAGCAGGAGGGGAAGGGTGGCTGTTTTTTTTTTTAATATTTTTTTTAACCAATCACAGGCCGACACGTGTCATGTAACCTGTTATAACAGGTTACATGACCGGTTGGGACCATTAAAAAAGAATGGGGGGTAAGGCCAGACTATTAAAAAATATCTCAAAGGTGGTATTATTAAAAACGAATGGCCCAAAGATGGGATTATTCCCATGAATTTTTCCTTTTTTTTATACAAAAATCTTAATTATTTATCTAATTTCCTCAATTTCGTTTTCTTTGTCCTATTCGGTATCTTACACGGCTATCAATGCAATATTGAAATACGAGTAACAATTCATTTGGGTACGTATTACAAACTTTCACTTTGTAACATTTGGAAACTAAGAATCTAGATTCTAGACGATTTTAATAGGATTCCATATGACCATAATATATACAGGTTTGGAATCCAATGAGAGAATTCTTAAAATGAGAAGCATAAAATGTATACTCCATATACATTTTCTATTAAATGCACAAATTTAATTTTTAACCAGCTTCCATGTACACAAACACACACACACTTCCTACATTGGTTTTTTTTTTTTTTTTTTTTTTTTTTTTTTTTTTTTTTTTTATTGGAAAAATTCATGGGAATAATCCCACCTTTGGGCCATTCGTTTTTAATCCCACCATTGAGTTATTTTTTAATAATCCGACCTTTACCCCCATTCTTTTTTTATTGGTCCTAACCGGTCATGTAACCTGTTATAACAGGTTACATGACACATGGAAACCTGTGATTGGTCAAAAAAATTGATAATATTTAGAAAAATTTTAAAGAAAAAATAAATAAAATTAATAATTATTTACAAAACCACCACCAGCCCAAGACTTCCCCGCTGCCCCTGACACCCCTGCCCCGTGGCTCCGGTCACGAGAACCCCCAGTGACAGCGCCGGCTCCGGTGTTGGCCTGAACCCCCTCGCCTGAAGCACCAACCCGCCTTCCCACCCCAAATTGTTGATTGGTGAAGGTCGAATGATTGATTTAATGTTTTTGGGTTGCGCGAAGTTCGGCAGTTGTAGGTTGTGCTGCGAGCTAAGGTGGTTTCGTGGTGGTTGAATTGTTGATTGCAGGTGGCGAATTATTGATTGCGGGTGGCGAATTAGTGATTGTGGGGGCTGCGATGCTTAATATGGGCGAAAATGGCAGTGCGGTGGAGATGGGTCTTGCGGCTGACGGTGATGAGGTGGAGATGGATCTTGCGGTTGATGGTTTAGGCTAATAGGTTGGTGGTGATGGTGGTTATTTGGTGTTACGGGCTGTGCGGTGTTGCGGGGCTGCTAAATGGTGGTTTTGTGGTGGTTATGGTTGATGTGTGTTTATAGGGGTGCTGGTCGCGGCGGGGGTGGCGGTGTATTGCAAGGGTGTTCAATGGGTAGAGGAGGGGCGTCGCTAGCACCGGCGCGGGGGAGGGGTGTTTGGGCGCTACCGGGAATGGGGGGATCCGGGAGGTGGCCGTGGCTGGTGGTGGGAAGGGTGGTCGTGGGTGGGACTGTTAATTTTCTTTTTATTTTTTTCTTTGTTTCTTTAAATATTTTTTTTTATCAATTAAGTAATGACACGTGTAAATTAATTTTAAAAAAAAAAATTACCTTCTCAACCGGTTTCAGGTAAAATGGGAACATTAAAACAGAATGGGGGCTAAAGGTCGGATTATTAAAAAATAACTCAAAGGTGGGATTATTAAAAACGAATGGCCCAAAGGTGGGATTATTCCCATGAATTTTTCCTTTTTTATTTATTTATTTATTATTTTTTACCATTTGGACTTTTACATTATGCATACAATCTTTTTCGACCATCTTTTGTGATTTTATCTGTTAGGAAAAATATAGTCGAGATCTAGTTAGATTTGTCTCAATATCTACTTTTAAAATAACAACTTTTTAATCATTTTTAATTAAAGATATTAATAATGACAAAAAAAAATACCTGGGCAAACGTGAAATCATACATCAAAGCATTTATGTGCGGCTGGCCACACTACGTAACTGCTTGTAAAAGAACAAAATAACATTTATAACGCTGACCAATTAACTCCTATAATACTGACCAGCGATACTGACCGGCTAAACCCTAAAACACTGACTGATTAATCCCTATAACACTGACGAAGTAACCCCTATAACACTAATTGAGTAACTCCTATAACTCTAACGAAGTAATTCCCATAAACGTTAGTTACAGTACACGGTGTGGTCAACCACATATAAAAGTTTATAATCATACAAATGATGCAATTAAAAATAAACTGAGGACATATATATGTTGTATTTAATGTGCAAACAATGATTTTACCTCTTTTGCAGAAAATCCGATCGAAGTAAGATGCATATTATCATGTGTTCCAAAGATACTTTTAATGGAGTCGTCACTTTTTTGAAGTGGAGTTGAAAACGGCTGCAAGTCCTCACAATTGTATCCTGATCCACATGATTTATATCCACTTCGCCATATATTGGTGTGTATATTATTAATGACACGATCACGCTTTTCCTTATACTATTGTAAAATCCTTTTTTCCCGCTTATTTTCTGTATAAACTCGTCATGCTTTAGAACAACCTAAAAAGAATAAAAAATAATTAGAGAAACGTAGAAGTACTATTATGGAATATAAGGGGAGTGCCTGTAAAAACTAAAAAAGATTTGATCACAGATTTTGAGTAATACCCAAAATTTTAATTATTTTATCTAGTTAACATCCATTACATACAAGATTTATAATATAAGAAATATTCCTATTATATAGACAATCTAGTTACAAACATGCATGTACGTTTATATGGATAATAACAATAGCTAATGAAGAATAAGCAAATTAAAGTCAAGAAAGATTCACTATTATTGGCGATGGGTGCAGTTTAGTAAGGGCATTGATGTCCTTTTACTTTAATTATTGGCGGTGTTGATAATTTTTTTTTTTTTTTTTTTTTTTTTGTGTTTAGAGAGCCACAAGGGCGTGGGTGAGAGGTTTAGATAATAATTATTGACGGCATTTAACACTTTCCAAAATAATTAATGCTTGATCATCATATAATAAAAGTAAAATAATTTGAAAAAATTGAATCCAGAGTAATCCAATTGAATAAGAAATGTCAAATATTCCGTAATTAAGAAGTTGGATTCAGAAAGCACTAAAATAATATTACCCTATATGTCTCTCCATTGTTGCCGCCAAAGAATTGTTTAGTTGATATTTTTCCAAATGCATCAACTTTGACAAACCCAATTCCATGTATTATGTCGTCATGGCTTATTGTTATCTCTTTGATATAATTAAATCTATCTAGCTCTATCGACCAACCTCCTCCAATTTCTGGAAAACCATATGGACCATGTTTCATTGTGGATAGCCTAACCTGAACGAAAAAAAGTTAATTACTCAAATTTTATATATTTTCTTATATAAAAACATGTACACAAAGTATTATATGTGGCTAATTACAAGCATGCCACATGGTGTGGCCACTTTATATATAATAGGGATTACTCAAATGAGCAAATATGAATATATATTTTGACGGATATGGGAAAATGAGGTTATTTTAATGAAAAACTTAAGTTTTTACTTTATTAGTTAAAAAAACTTAAAACAAAATAATAGGAGTTACTCGAATAAATAATGAAAAATTGAGGTTATTTTTTTTAATTGATTATTATTACCCGTACAATAAACTTGGGTCATTTTTATGAACAAAAGGGATTACTATTATTTTGCTCCCTAACAACTAAGATTACTCATATGAATGAATACAACATACTCTTATAAATCAATGCGGCCAGGTGATCCTGGGATCGATTCTCATCCCTGCCCTAGTGGCTCATATGAAACAAAAAAAAAAAAAAACAATACAGCCACGCAGAAGACTTACCAAATATATACACTTGATATTCCTTATAAATTAATGCTTGAAATATTATACACCCTTCGTTTTTTTTTTTTTTGTTCTACTCACTTACTTTCTATGCGGTTTCCAGCATGTATGTTTGAACAAGTATAACTTTTTTTGTACACTAACATAAATTATGAAAACTTGATACATAAAAATTACACGTTTAAAACAGTTTTAACAAAAACACAAGTGATTATATTAGATTTGTACATTAGTAGCAATGGATGGTAAAAAAAAATTTAGTTTGACCCAATTAATAATAAGTGAGTGAAAAAAAAAAGAAAAAAAGAAAAAAAAAAGAGAGAGAGAGAGAAATAGCACTGGTATATATATTTAAAAATACAAAATATTAAATTGACCCAATTTAAGAAGATGGTGATGGTATGATTGATATCATCCTAGAAGGCATATTTGCTCCTAATTGTTAGTTAAACACTATTAAAATAAAAAAAAAATAACAATTATATGGAGGAAAATTTTTAATTTTATATTTTGTTTCATTGGTACTTACAAAAATCCCACTGCAATTTCAGTGATACAAAATATACTCTCATTGGTAGTGATCCCTATAATTTTATGTCCGTTTTGCACGTGAATGTATGTCTGATAAGTATTAATGGAGCCTACACCACCCTTTATTTTAGAGTAAACTATAAATATAGTCTCTAAACTTTGCCAAAAGTTTGGTTTTGGTCCCTAAACTTTCAAGTGGCTGAATTTAGTCCCTCAACTACTACTTTTGGTTGTTAGTAAAGTGACTCAGATCATCTAAGTTTAGGGACTTGAGAGACTGACTGGACCAAAGTTTAGGGACTTTTGGTGCTGACTAGACCAAAATTTAGGGACCTTGCAATTTTTTTTTAAACTGGAGTATAGTGTAGGGACTTTTGTATTCGTACACCAACAAACTACAAAATAGTTTTAAGTATTTTTTCCATAAAATTCTACACTTCTAGATGGAGGTCCACTTTACACTTATGTCTTTGATATATATGAACATGTCTCGAATCGCGTCTCTTATCGAGTATTTAGCACCGTGCCTGAGAAACATGAATGCTAAGTGAGCGATGGACCGTATGATTTCGAGATTGCTCACATTGATTAAAAAGAAAAAATTCAAAGCAAAAAAAATAATAAATGCAAACACATATAAAGCTTGCAAAAATTTCAAGTTTCAAAACACGATTGCACATCTTGGGGGGTTTCTCTCGGGTCTTGAGCCTTTTCACCCTTTCTTCTTCAAACCATCAACTTAACCACGTTACAACCCTCAAAAGAACTCTTCGAGGTGTACATACATTTGTGCAAAGTTCGGCTAGAGCTACGTTTGGCCTGATTCCTAACGGATACGTAGGCAACCTTACATCGAGGTGCGGCCACATTCGTATTCTTCATGAAGAAATTCAAAGAATGACAACAAATAATGAAATAACTAAATACTCATAAGATAGAAAAATATATTACCGAGATTATACAACAACAAATTGCCTATATTCCGACGATAAAAAAATTGTCGGAAAAATGAGGAAAAATCGCTGGTCCAAAACCATTGATATAGAGCGATTTTCTTGTAGTGTTAGCAAATATTAGCGTTAAGCAAAATTAAACAAAAACAAAATGTCAATTTAATTAAAATTATATTTTGTTAACAAAAAAAATAAAGAATTAATTGAATAAATAAATCCTAAACAAAATAAAATAAAGATTATTTACCATACTCCGTAAGACTTTAATTAATGCTTAGACTTTCAAGTGTAGAATTTTATGAAAAAAATGCTTGAAAGTAAAAAATAGTTTTAAAAATCAATACTATACACTAAAAGACACACCAGCAATGACACGTATCATTTTCTGGTGTGTCCCTTATTTTAATTTTTTATAAAAATAATTTTTAGAAAACAAATTTTATACATAAATAAAAAGATATCAAAATAATACATAAATAAAATATTTGACAAATCTTATACAATAAAGAAAAAGATAACAAAATAATACATAAATAAAATATTTGATATGTCTTTCCATAATATATACATTGACAACTATATTTTTTTTTTTTGAGAAAAATATAAAATTAAGTAAAAAGAAATAAATATTAAATCAGATTTTTAACATAATTGTGCCACAATGTGTGCCAGAATGTGTGACAAAATGTTATGTACTACCTATTACAACAATAATTTTATTTAATATATTACCGTGCATGGCACGGGACATGATCTAGTAAATGATATTGCTTAGTCATGTCATGGGTTAAATTTACGTAAGTTTGAAACTTACTTGATTAATAAGTAAAATTAAAATTTCGATATTGCCGTATTTTTAGTATTTAATCTGGCTTGATCAATTAATTTTAATTAATTACAAACATATAAATGCTTGCATTATAAAAAAGAATGTAATACAAGTCTACAATTACAAATGACCGAGATTGTATGAAATTTGTCTTAGCAAACTTAAATAAAATAAATAAATTATATAGACCCAACAAATTATCTTGACTAGAGCAAGCTAATTATTTTTAATTTGTGTAGTTCTAGCCATGTGTCAAGCTAATTATTTTTTTATTAATGTATTTTATTAATTATTATGTCACTAGAATAAAGTCCCTAAACTTTCAATTAAAAAAGCAAACTCAACCTATAGGTCCTTAAACTTTTAAATGTATTTAAACCAATTGTCAAATTAAATCAGCTAGAGGGTCCCTAAACTTTGGTCCAGTCAGCACCAAAATTCCCTAAACTTTGGTCCAGAGTCAATTAACTAACCACCAAATGTGGTGGTTGAGGGACTAAATTCAGTCAATTCAAAGTTTAGGGACTGTATTTATAGTTTACTCTTCCTATCTCTTCCTTCCTTGCACCATCGTAATTTTTTAACAGTTGTGAGACATGGTTGTTTTGTCTCACAACCCTCCATTTATACTTTCTCCGATCCCTTACCCCCAACCAATAAGTGAAAAATAAAATGAAAAATAAGTGAAAAATAATGAGCCATACCTCCTTCACACAAATTCCAAAGGAAGAAAGTATAAACTTGTCATATCCAACCCCTTTCTTCTTTTCAAGATAAGCAGTCCCATGTATATTGAAAATAACATCTCTACTTTGGAGTTGAATCGAAAATATTTCGTCTGTCGATTGAGTTTTTACTTCACTCCAAAAATATCCACCAGGAAATAAGTTGGTATGTATCTTCAGTGATTTAATAGTTTTATGTGGTTCAGTCGCAATTCTGCCGCTTATTTGCGTTATAAATTCATGAGACTTCATCTTCAATCCAAAGTTATAAAGCTGACAAAAAATGTTACACAAGGAATTCATTAATTGCTTATTTGAGCACACATTAAATAATCTTAGGTCCGTCAAAAAAAAAAAAAAATATATCTTACGTATTGTTTGGTTGCCTTTGTTTTCATAGGCACTTAAAATTCCCGTGAATTTCCTTCTTGATATGTTGTTTGGTCAACATTAAAAAGCAAAATGGGGGAAGTTACAAACTTACAATTCATGGGATTCCCACTTCCCACAAAACGTGGGAAGTTACTTACCCACCCCACCCCACCCCACCCTTGGTCATTCACAATTCGTAGGATTTACAAATTCCCACATGACAACCAAACACATTTATGTAATTCCTAGAAATTTTTATTAAGAAAGTAATTTCCCATAAATTTGAATTTTCCATGGAAATTTACTTCCTACGTCAACCAAACAAGGCCTTAGTTAAAGCATTATTCTTTCACATTTTGGTTAAATTCCATCAATTATACGGAGTTAGAATTTATCTTAAATCTAAACTGCATTACTAAGTAAATGTAAAATGTTCAAAAACAAAAAAGTTAATGCGATAAAAGATTATTAGGTGATTCTTTACGCTAACTGGCCCTGTTCACTTCACCTTATTTTGCTGAACTGAAATTATTTTTACTAGACTGAAATAATTTTTACTGATTATTTTTACTGAACTAAAATTAATTAACTAAATCGAAATCATTTTTACTGAATTGAAATTATTTTTACTGATTTTCTATTACATTTCTTCTTTAAGTTTACTACTTTTTACTGAACTGAAATTATTTTTACTGAACTAAAATTATTTTTGCTGAACTGAACTTATTTTTACTGAACTGAAATTAATTTTACTGAATTGAAATTATTTTTACTGAATATTCTTTTTTTAAGGTGAAGTGAACAGGGCCTTGTCTAGCCAAATTAATTTCGTTAGACAATTTGACAGCAAATTTATATTTATGTTTATTACCTACACTTCAAAAAATCAATAAAAATAAGTTGAAAGCAAAAAAATCAAAAAATAGAAAAAAGCTTAGAGATCAAATTGGTTCAATATGCAGAGAAGCGTAGATAAGATTTAAATAAGTTTGCTCTAAAATTATTATACTTAAAATTTTAAAAAATATCAATCATTTATTATATATTAATACTAAAGTAATCCCCGTAATTATCCCTTAAATACACGTGTCATCACTTCATAAAAAAAAAATTCCGCCAAAAAAATTTGTTACTATACTTTTTTTTTTAATTGAAAGATGTTTGCTACTATATCTCATAGTGAAATTTTGGCCTTATATTTAGGAAATGATGCTCAACAATAATAATTTAAATAAAATTAATAAATATAGTGGTAAAGAATAAAAAATGTTACGTAATAATATTATTAAATACTACTTAGATATTATCAAAAAATATTATTTTATTATTATTTTTTTGTTATCAACAAGAATATAATGTCAATAATAGTGAGTACTCGTACTTTTTAATTAAGAACAAGAGTATGCTTTTATATCGAATACTAATTTATTATTATTCCTTCCATCTCACATTAATTGTACTATAAAATTAAACATTGAGATTAATCTTATGGTATCACAATGTTTATTTACCTTGCCCCTCATTTGCACCAAAACAAAAAAACAATGTTTATTTACCTTTTTTTTTCCTTTTCTTTTTTTTTTCAATATTTCAATTTGTACAATTTCTAATACGAATAATAAAATACGTACTATTGTAAAACCGTGCATAACATGAATTTTGAACTAGTATATAAATGTAAGAGACTGGGTGGTCGGAAAGAATCTATTCAAATTAAAACTGATCATGTGAAGAGTTAGCGTACAAAATATTTTTACCAGTATTTTTTATTTCTGGAGTATCTATTCACTACTTCCATTTTATTTTATGAATATTTTTTTCAATCGATATTTTTTTTTATTTTTTTTGAAACATCAATCTATCATTTAATGTGAATTGAATTTCATAGACAACTCTTCGTACTTTTATTTTTATTTTAACACAAAAAAAGCCTGAAATTGGTTTTTAACACCACCAAAAAATAATTTATTTCAACACCACAAAAATTTAGAAAACTGGATTTTACCACCACTTAACAGTTTTATCCAAAAATTCATTAAGGGGGTGTTTGGTTATCAAGTTGGAACGGATTGGTACGGAATCTCATACTAGAGAGGTATGGATTCTAAAACCCATACTAGTCCAAAATTGTTTGGTTTAATTGTTGGAAGGGATTGTGAATCCTAGAGGGAGGGGTGGGTATGAGATTCTATGGGTATGGGTGGAAATTAGAACCCTTTGGGTATGAGATTCCATTACTAAAAACCTTAACCAAACAAAAAACTAGATGGAATGGATTCTAACTCCATTCCAACCCATTCTAAATGATCCAACGAAAAGACCCCTAAGTGAGGTCTACAGTGACACGAGTTGCCATGTTATTGGTTTTAAAAAAGTAAATAAAATTAAAATTCCTAAAACTACCCAGCCTCACCACCGCCACCCTCTATCCGCCCTCACCCAGCGCAGCTGTCGTTGCCCGCCCCACCGCTGGTACACCCCCTCCCCCAATTGAAACCCGCACCACCAAAACCCACCCCCTCCCTTTCTCCAAGCCATAAACTACTCAACCACCGCCAAACTTAAGCCCCCTTCCCCTAAAAAGTGGGCACGGATTTGGCCGGCCGATTTTTCGGCCATTAGTGGCCGAATTCGTGGACGTTTTTTTAGGGAAGGGGGCTGCGGTTTGGTTGTGTTGGGGCGTTTAGGCCTGGGGGAAAGGGAGGGGGAGAGTTCCGATGGTGCGGGTTTAGGCTGGGGAAGGGGGTGTGCTGATGGTGGGGCGAGGGGCGGTGGTTGTGCTAGGTGGGGGCGGAGAAGAGGGTGGCGGTGGTGGGGCTGGGGTGGCTGGGTAGTTTTAGGTTTTTTTATTAATTTTTCTTTTTTTGTTTTTTTTAAAATCTTTTTCTTTTTTTAGCCAATAACAAAGTGACATGTGGCACTGTTACCTCTATTAAACGGATTCTTTGACGGAGCCAGTTAAGTGATGATAAAATCCAATTTTTTAAAATTTTGGTCGTGTTAAAATAATTTATTTTGGTGGTGTTAAAAACCAATTTCAACCTTTTTTTTTTGTGTTAAAAATCAAAATTTCCTTATTTTTATTTTTACTTGTTTACTCTTAAAATAATTTACAAAGGAGTTAGCATGAAACAATTTTTAGCTATACCGTGGGGCATGGAACGACCGTCTAAATCTCTACTAGTATTGACGAAATTAGAATGTGAAGAGATTGGGAATGATTAATACCGTGGCTCCAACATTCTTGGTAATTTTTCTTCCTATTGCATCAATTATGCCGAACGAGATTCCCTCAATCCCGAGATTTGTATGGGCAATATACACTTCTACAATCTTATCGTACCAACCAATCTCCACGGACCACTTCGTTTCTTCTTTATCTTCACTACCGTATGGCCCGTACTCCTGTATCTTCTGAAAATGCAAATTAAAATTTTGTCATGACTCAAATATTCATCAAGGCTTAATTCATTTTAAGTAAAAATAACTAAACTTGTCAAAAAAAAAAAAAAAAAAAAAAAACAAACAAACAAACAAAAAAGTAAAATTAAAGTAACTAGTACAAGATAAAATATTTATACCATTGGTATTTCCATAATTATTGGATAACTGTCGACATAAATTAAAGTAACTACTACAAGATAAAATGCAAATTAATGTATGAAGTATAACCTTACCATGCCCACCGTTCCTGAAGAAATATTAGGAAAAAAAAAGGAATGCCATTGGCGTAAAGGGCTACAACAGAACTTTATATTATTCTTTCTTTTGCATTTATTCTAATCCTAACTTAAAAGTAATACTAGCCATGCATGCGATGCGCGCTTGATATTTATACTGGATGTAATAACTATTATGAACTTCAAGTTTATTGCTATTTTTGAAAGTAAAATTCATAAGGAGTATTTAATACGGAGTATTGTAAAACGAATGCCCGAACTAGATAAGTATCTCTTATAAAGATGATTTGTTTATTAATTTAATGGTGTTAAAAATGACATCACATAAAAGATTTAACAAGCTTTTAAAACTTTAATGGTACTCCGTATTAAATTATCATGATTATGGAATAAAAATAAATAAAGTCCCTTCAAAAATAAATAAATAAAGAAGTAAACAATATACAGGAGCATGAAAATTCTAATTTTTTAATTCATATAGTTTGTATAATTTTTATAGATAGATGATAAATACATTGGTAATAAAAAAATTTCCAAAACTTTTTATATTAATAAGTTATAGATAATTGAATATTGTGAATTGTTAATACTTAATACTCCTCCCTTTCCTTAATTAGATACATACTTCTTTTTATTATGTGAGTAATAAATGCTAGAAATAGACATTTAATAAAGGGACGGAAGGAGTACATAATTAAAATTTTTGTTTTAAATCACACATTCTGATATATAGATGAAAATAATACTCGTAGCATATTTTATTGGCAAAAATCTATTATTTTGAGACAATAATAGTTAATACTGTATAATAATATGAATAGTTGAATGTTGATTGATTAGTATATTTAAGTAAGTCAATGATTTTTTTGCTTTTTTTGTTTTGTTTTGCTTTTTTATTTATTTATTATTATTATTTTATATATTAATGAAATAGGTATTCAAAATTTGCAAACTCACGATTATATGTAAGATTTCATTCTTTTGTTTAGCTATTAGGGGAAATTTAGGAAGTTTAAAAGTCGGACACCAAATTTTAATTTCCCCTCCCCTCTTGCCTTATATAATAGAGATATATACACAGTATAAAAAATGTTAGAAAAGATTGTTTTTATGGATATTTGCTTATCATATTTTAGGTAGTTTACCTAAGATATTTTTTTTACCATATTTTAGCCAAGTTGTACGTTATATATTTTTGTCAATGAATGACAATGGATCTTAAGCTTTGCAATAGCTCATGTGGTTAAGGCTTTCCTCTCGATTTCAGAAGTTCTATTATTATTACTCGTCCTAGTGACTGTTCTAAACACCAAGAAAAATTAGTATATTAATCATATTTTACATGGTACACTAATGTGAGCTCATTCAGGCTGTGGAGGTAATCGAGCAAGTCAAGGGTTTATTTCATTATTTGAGCAGTAATATTAAGGGTTGTTGAGCGCAAAAAGTAATAAGATCAAAGATGGAGGTGTAGTGTAAAGAGGGGGTGTCAAGTGGGAGGGTTTGAAAATTAAAAATTAAAAAAAAAAGCTAATAAAATAATAAAGTCATTAGCTTTGATGAAGCATTTGACCTCTAATATCATTCATGTCTTTCATTGCACTCTACTCCAATAGTTTGTGTTATTCTTCGCCTCAAGTTGAGCGTACACGTAATCTAATAATTTATTTCATTGTGGCTAAATTGCAAAGTTAAAATAATTTAAGAATTTAGTGAAAAATAATTTCATTTCAATTAAAAACAATAAGTTTAGTATGGAGTAGTAATTATTAGAAAAATAGAAATGTTCTGGCTGAGACGGATAAGCATTTCTAATCTTTTTTGGGACCTATTAAAAGCGGCTTCATATACAGCACATTCTCGGATCATATTCTTAACTTGCACCAAGAATTTACTAAATAACATTATTTCCATTGCAACTTTTATGGGACCTATCAACCCCACAAGCTTTATTTTTCTTTCCCTTTTTTTTTTTTTCCTATTTTTTTTGTAACCCTAATAATAAAATGTTTGCAGGGTGAACCTTAACATTAAAGCCTTTAAGCTTGGGTCTTTTTGTATGAATTTCAATGGTTATAAGAAGTTTATTCAAATGGTTTATATGTTGTAGTAATACTCCCGCTGATTTGATAATCAATTTTGTTTAATATTTCCCATTTAAAATGTTTAATATTTCCCATTTAAATTTTTTTTGTGCTCCATAGTAATACACGCGCTGATTTGATGATCAATTTTGTTTAATATTTCCCATTCAAAATCTTTTTTTAGACAAAAAATAAAAATCAAAGTGGTAAGAATAAAAGGAGGAGTAATTCTAATTGGTACTATGTAATTCATAATATTTTCTTTCAATTTTTTTCTTTTTTTTTATTGCTATTTTTTTTTTCTTTGAAAAAAAGATGTATCCTTTTAATATTTTTTTCCCAATAAACTCCCACAAGATTTTTTTTTCTTTTTCAAGTATTGTCATGGTTCTTTCAAAAAAAAAAAAAAAAAAAAAAAAGTAATCGTCATAGTTCTTTTTTGGCATTGTGATTGAAACTTAACATTAAAAAAAAAGTAATTGTCATAGTTCTTTAATTTGTATGAATTTCACTGGACAAGGAAGCTGATTTAGATTGCTTTATTCATTCCAGAGCATTACTCCCTCAATCTGATCTTTTTTGTCATTCACGTTTGAAATCTTTTAATTAGGAAAAAAAAGTAAAAACTTTAGTAGGAAAAATAAAAAATAAAATGGGTTAGATATGAGAGAATATTCCTAAATTACATAATTATTTTCTAAAGCTCTGTATTTCTTCTTGAACATTTTTTTGGTCATATGAACCCCGCAATATAATTTCATTTTTCTAGTAATTCTCTAATATACGATTATTGTAATTGGCATGGTGACCTGAAACATTAAAGCCTTTGTTTGGGTTTTTGGCTTACACAAATTATTGATTAAGGCGGGCTTTTGTTAAGTTATTGTAAGCCGGGTTAAATTTATCCTAAAAGTATTTAATGTTACCCTTATATACAGTGACAGATCTTAAAAGTTTTCTTTCGGGGCCAATAATTTATACAACATTACATAATTTTACAGCTTAAACAAGACTACAATTAAATAAGCATATGAAGTCATTTACAAATTCAGTAATACAGAAATATAAAAAGGTAAAAACTAACGATCGTCTCGGGGGCGTTGGATAAGCTAGATAACAAAAGGTAGAAATGTTGAATAAAAATGAACATTAATTACAATGATTGACGCGTGATTTTGGTATGTATTCCTAAATTAATACTCCGTAATCATTAATACTCCGTACTACTTTGATAAATATTTTAAATGCTTATTATCTAATGCCTCGGGGTGTTTGTTAGCACACAAGATCCAAATAAAAATTAAACGAAATATTATTACTGATGTTTGTTTGCAATTTTAATTGATGCGTTTAATTGTGCTCCCCTGAAAAAAGTGCATTACTTCATCTTTATTGAATTGATGGTTTGATGGGTGGATTAAAAGAGAAAGAGGAGTTTTGTGGGTAGTGTGTTGTCACCTAGGATGCACGGAAACGGATACGGACACGGACACGGACACGATACGGACACGGGAAAACGGCAATCCTAAAATAGGGGACACGGGTACGGCGTATAACAAGGCATATAATATATTAAAAAAAACGAGAATTTGACAACTAATTCAATAAAACACTAAATAATTAGCCTCAAAACACACAATTTTAATTAAACAAGTAAATGAACAAAGTGTACGGACATAGTCGGATACATATCAAGAAACCATCAAACCAGACATGTCTTAATAGTACTCTTCAAGTAATCAAACAAAACTAGAAACATAACACAAAATCAAACATCTCATCAAGTAATCAACAAAACTGTCAAAACACGGTGGTGGGCGGTGGTTGTCTGGCTGACGACGAACAACAAATTGAATTATTGAAGCAATTGAATTTCAGAAAATCAGAAGTTCTTACACACTTACACTGATTAAAACCCTAAAAAATTCTCCAAATTAGCATTACTCGAATTCACTTCAGAATCACAGCAATTGTTGAATGGCAGAAATTGAGCTCCAGTAAAGATAACAATGGAGCTCAATTGTTGAATGGCAGAACACCAAGAAATAAGCACGAAAAGGCTGAAATTGAGCTCCATTAAAGACAACAATGGCGGAGACTCAGAAAATGAAGACCGATTAAGTTCTCTCCCAGACTCCATTCTCACCGACATTCTCTCACTTCTCGACATCCAAGGATGCATATTCAGAACTTTAATTGAATTTTTTTTTAAAAAAAAGTAGAGAAGAACCATACCTGGTGGCTGACACGGACGACGGGCGACAAGGTGCGCGGTGGAGTGATAGGTGGTGGCTGAGGACGAGCAGGCGAACAGCAAGGGCCAGGCCAGCAACTCCAGCAACCCCCGCAACAATGAGAGATGAAGGCCACGAGCAGCAAGGGCCAGGCCAGCAACCCTGACAACCGGCAAGGAGGCGAGTGGCGATGACGGAGACAGCAAGCCAGCGGTACGGTGAGACCTACAAGTCGGCGACTGAGCAAGTGAGCAGCAAGGGGTTCAGTTGAGACTTGAGAGGATGAGAGGATTGAGAGTTTGAGAACTGGAAACTTGGAAAGAGGTAGAGAGGCAAAGCATAGGAATTTAGGTATTTCGCGTGTCCATACCAAAACGGCCCGTGTCAGCCCAAGACACGGCCCGTGTCCAAAAATCAAAAACGGTTAAAAAAAATCGGACACGGTTTTCTGCGTGTCGGACACGTGTCGCCCCGTGTCTCATCCGTGTCCGTGTCCGACACGCGTGTCGACTCGGACTCTTCAGATTTTTGGCGTGTCCGTGCATCCTTGGTTGTCACTGATTTGTGGAAATTATATAGTTATTGTAGTCCTAATTATTTGTCTTTCCTATATATGTAAATAGAAAAGTAATAAGTTAATGTAGTTTAAGCCTTTTCATATCAGGGCCAAGCCCCATGTAGTCTCTTTAATGATCCGCCCCTGCTTATATATATACAACAAAAGTTATTATTTTCGTATTATAAATTGTACTCTTAAAAGCCACTTGTACATATTAGCCTTCATAACATTCATCTATTAGAAATTACATATTAAATTACAATCAAACTCATTACAAATTAAAAGTTATCTTTACATAGATTAAAGTTACCATAAAAACTTTTAAACTTACCCTCAAATTGATCGTGTTACAATAAAATTAAAGTAAGTCCACCTTATATAAGACTTATTGTTTTTCTATAAGGGTTTAAAAATTAAAGATTATTCCACATTCACACTAAAGCAAATAGATTTTGAGTAACTTCTCCATCAATTTACCGGCATGATGAATGTGTTGACGATTTTTGCGAATGTAAATTCATTGGAAGCAAGGAAGTTAATTTAGATGGCTTTATTCGTTCAAGAGAAAAACTCAGTCCCATTCGTTTTTGCTCATCACATTTAAAATCTTTTTTGTGAGATATTAAATATCATGATCAAAGTTGGTAAAATAAAAGGCTCCAATGGAATATTCAAAACTTGCACTAAGGCCTTGTTCACTTTACCTTACAAAAATAATATTCAATAAAAATAATATCAGTTCAGTAAAAATAATTTCAGTTCAGCAAAAATAATTTCAGTTCAGTAAAAACCAGTAACTTTAATGAAGAAATATAACAGAGAATCGGTAAAAATAATTCCAGTTTAATAAAAATAATTTCAGTTCAGTAAAAATAATTAAAGTTCAGCAAAAATAATTTTAGTTCAGTAAAAATAATTTCAGTTCAGCAAAATTAAAATAAGGTGAAGTGAATAGGGACTAAGTAATTCCAAAATATCTTCATATCCCTTTTTAGTTTTTTTGGACCTATGATGAACACCACAAGATATTTTATTTTTTCTTTTTTGTTAACCCCAATGAAACAACATAATTGACATGGTGACCCTTAACTTTAAAGCCTAGCCTTTAACTTTTGAGAATTTTTGTTTAAAGTTGAATGGGGGTAGGGAAGTTTATATGGCATAATTTCTTCTGAAACAATACTCCCTCTGATCATTTTTGGTTGTTCTCATTTAAAATATTTTTATGATCTTTAAAAAAAAAAAAAATCAAAGCAAGAAAAAAAGAGGTTATAGTTGTGTATTATGGCAATGTAGATGAATTTCATTCCCATGTATATATAATAATTACATATATTAAAGCCTTTATAAATTAAAGGTTGGAGAATTTTGTATTAATTTAACTAGAAGTAAGGAAGTTGATTCAAAAGGCTTTATTCGTTTATTTGAATCAACTTCCTTGCTTCTAGTTAAATTAATACAAAATTCCTCAACCTTTAATTTATAAAGGCTTTAATATGTATTTATATATCCATTTTTTCATATTCTTTAAGAAAATAGTTAAACACAACTATGGCAACCACCCATCTATCCTCCGACAATGTAGATGTCACAGAAGCATCAAAGAGCAAAGATCAAGGGTTGCCACAAGCAACGGGTAACGAACGTAGCATGTATGTGTCCTTATCAAATGATGAACAAAAGGATAAACATGACATCGTCAGGCAGGTTGAGCAGCTGCACAAGCCTGATGGTAGTAATGTTAATGCCAAGCCCATTTCTCTTTTTGTTAAGCGTATTCTTGAACCCGCACCTGCCTCTCAAACTGTAGAAGCAGCTTCACAGGTATGTTAGTACAACTTAATCATTGAGTGTTATTACTTTACAAATACTACATTATATTGCTTATGTTTTCCCATCAAAAACAAACAATAATCATTGCTTATGTTCTGATATGTTATATGTAGGATACTCCGCCGAGCATCTATGACAGTCTACCAGAATTCTCTGACATGCCAATTATTGCCGGAAAGGTAGCAAGTGAGGTGATTATTTTTCATTTTCCAATTAATTATTTTAAATAGTTTAGTTTTTGAATAATCCATGATTGTAGAATACTGCAGTTAGAAATCAATCTATAAGAATTAATTGAGTATATAGACTATTCACAAACTCTTACTTTGTAGATTTTACAATTTTATAAAAATATCTGATGACAACTTAAAGGGAAATTCCCTGTTTCTCACAGTGAAAAACGAAATTGAAATGGTATATCTGATGACAACTTAAATTGGAATGGTATATTTTGCGATCCTAATTGAAAGTATAAAACTAATGCAGATAGCCTGCAAGGTCGTGAATGATGAGGTTGATTCACACACCACCACCCTTTCTGTGCTGAATGTATTGCAAAAGTTTTCTTGGGAATCAAAGGTGGCTCTAACGGTTGCAACTTTTGTATTGACCTTTGGAGACTCTGGGTTCAACTTGACAGCAGAATCCAGGACCAACGTTGATAAATCACCATTGTTCAATGAGCATGAGTTCGAACCCACAAAAAGTCTAATCGATGCCATGGTCGATGCAACTAATTGCATTGCTGATTTCGAAAATTTACCCACATCATTTTTCACTTCGGAAGATCCAAAAATCAAGAATGCTAATACTGATTTTCTAGTTGCTGTCTATTTGGTTGTCAGAGCTGTTGTTACTGCTGCAGCCCACAATATCACAATGTCAAGTAGGGGAGTCAAGTAAGTTTATAAATATATACTTCCTCCGTTTTAATTTACTTGAAACAGTCTTATGGCACGTGTTTTGAGGTCGAGTTTATATATTGTAAACGGACAATTTACTCATGATACCTAACCTTACTATAATCCTCGTGTTAAAATTATATTGATAAAATCGCTCGTTTACCTTTACTAATCATTTTCTAAAACTGCGTGCCTAAAAGGTGTTGCAAGTAAAAAGAAACGAAGAAAATATATTTCATTAGACTAATGTGAGTTCTTGTAATTCAACTGGGCTACCTTGAATCCTAAGCAGCTACATACTCAACTGGGCTGAGTTACTAACATGATAATTCATTAATTTTACAGATTTTCTACCTTAAATCGTATGGAGCTTTTCGACTGGGCTACGAAGCTAAAACGTATTAGTGATGATCTGAAGAACATGTTGCCTGAATTAACTAAACTTCTAGGTATGTTTACTATGCGACATGACATAGTGATAGAATAATATCCTGTCACATTTAAAAGTAAAAACAGAATGAGGATAATTTATGATGTGATGCAGAGGAAGACGTAGACATGGAGGCTTATAATTTGGTTAAGGAAGCTGTACTAAAAGAAAAACACATTGACAACATGAAAGTTCTTAATGCCCTTATTTCAGGCAAAGATAACTCACAATTGTATGATTGCCAGGTTCATAGAAAGGTATGTTACAATTTGTAGTCACTGCATATATAGTTCTTTTCATCATGAAATTATTAACTATGATTAATGAAAGTAATTATGGACCACTTTGATTCACTTAAGGAGTATAAATATTGAGGTTAGTTGTTTCTTTTCTGAGCTATTTCAGGTCCATCTTGAGGTGTTGAAAGGACAAAATGTGTTATTACTCATATCAGACCTGGATATCCCTACTTATCCTATACAATGTATGACAAAAATTGCTTCATTAGATTATTCTCGGTACAAGGTTGTCTGGATTCCTGTTGATCAAACTGAAGCCATAGACGAATCTAAGTTTTCGAGTCAGAAAGAAAAGATGCCCGGCTACTCTGTTAACCACCCTAGGATGATAAAAAATGCAGTTATTTAAGTTTCTCAAAAAAGAATGGGAGTTTAAGGGTGATCCTAATGTTGTGGTGTTGGATCCTCAAAGAAATGTTTTACATCAAAATGCGATGCACATGATACACATTTGGAAATCTGAGGCAGTCCCGTTCACAAATTCAAGGGAGGAGACCCTGTGGAAGGAGCAACGTTCGAGCCTTGATATGTTGTTTGGTTATTACGCTAAACAAATATTTGGCGATTTGCATGGCATGTATAAGGTAACACCTCATTGCAGGATTAAAGTTATTCTCTTTAATTCTTTAAAAATTATTTCTTACTCCCTCACTTTCTATCTTATGGAACACTTGCTTTTATGGTTTCCAATGCTTGCACATATCTCATTAATAATTCTTTTTGTTGATATATATGATAGATTATGGAAATAATCTATTTATGTCAATAATATTTTTGTATATTATTTAGTCTTGTATTTATCTTTTTTTTTTTTTTTTTTTGAAAGAAGTCTTGTATTTATCTAGTTTAACCTAGTTTAGCCAATTAATGAAAAGGCCACGACAAATATTTCTAGACATGATCAGGCCAAGAAGGATCCTTAAACCCCAAAGGTTGATAAATTACCATGTAGGAAAGCATTCTTGACATCCAACTAATGAATCGACCAAGATTTGGATAAAGCAATGCTAAGAACCACCCGAATAGTAGCCAGTTTAACAACCAGACTAAAGGTCTCATCACAATCAATTCCTTCCCGTTGTGTTTTTCCATCCCCAACAAGCCGAGCCTTGTGTCTCTCAAAGAAGCCATCAGAATTCGTCTTGTGCCGAAATATCCATAGTGACCGAATGATGTTGACATTAGAGGGCCAAGGAACCAAATCCCAAGTTCTATTTTCAATGAGAGTATCATACTCATCCTACATAGCAAGTTTCCAGTTATGGTCACGAAGGGCATAAATCGGGTTCTTTGGAATAGGAGATATGCAGGTAATGAGGCTAAGCACTATCTTTGTATTTTGGATTGGGCTTGACTATTCCATGTTTACTTCTAGTAATCATGGAATGAGAAGGAATGGACGGAGGAAGATTAGTAGCACGAAGTGGCTGAGCAGGAATATGAGGATGCTGCCTGCACTCGATGCGGGCGTAGGGAATGGCTGCGGACCAGATAGTGAGTGCCCAGCTTGCTGCCCAGCAAGTGTTGCGGGCGCAGGCTGTGAGGAGAGAGCTCAGGGCTGCTGCATGGAAGGGATTAGAGTAAGCTCCGCGGGCTACCTGCGGAGGGAGATGAGGTGCCGCAGGTGGGCTGCGGTCCTCGCTGACTTGACATGGGTGAAAGAGGGGAGGTTGTGCTTGGGCTATGAGGGACCGGATCAGCATCCAAGTCCGAGGAAAGGTAGTTTCTCAAAATGGGAGTGTCAAGAGAATTATCAAGAAAGTCATATGAGTGATCATTAGGAGTGTAAACTTTGGCCAAAGGAAAGATCGACTCATCAAAACATACATGCTTAGCTATTATTATTCTGCAACTTGATATATCAAAGTACTTATAGCCCGTATGATTACTTGGATAACCGAGAAACACACAAGGAGTTAAGTAGGATTGGAGTTTGTTTATTGTATTAGAAGGAAAGAGAAGATAACACAAACAACCGAACACTCAAAGGTGAGAATAATCAGGATGCTTTTGATAGAGAATTTGAGTGGGTTATTTATAGCCAAGAATTTTGGTTGCTAAAATGTTGTGAAGATATGTAGCCATTTCTAAGGCATGGTGCCAAATGGATGGCGGCATAGAAGCATGACAAAGGTATAGGACTTTAGATACTATAAGCGGAATTGCATGAATCATATTCATAAGCATCTAAAAACAAGATCTTTGCATAACACATAAAGAACACATAATTAAAGCGTGGTTCAACGAGAGATCAAGTAAGAATAATAAGGAGAACAAGAACCCCAAACATGATTCCTCTACTTGGTCCATGGGCAAGGATTGAACCTCCACTAATGCTAGTTAGTTGTGATTGAACCTTTCAATCAACCTTCTACGGAGAGGAGAGGATTGAACGAGCCACAAACCACCACCACCACCACCACCACCACCGTGCGTCCACTAGCGATGGGAACAATTCACTGTTTGGGTTAATTGCGATTTATGTGCATAACCTAGGCAAGACCTCTATTTATATATCTCATATATAATTAGAGTCCATGTGAAGCTCAAACTCCTAACCCAATCCAAACTTCTTTAGCCTTACTTCTTATGTGGCTTGTCATTACCTCATGAGGCCCATTATTGGGCTTCATACTTTGCTCAATCCATAACCCTTGTGTGTGACCTTATATCATCCATTCTTTTGGGCTTTGAACTATTTGACTAACCCAAGGATCATTTATCATGTCTAGCAACAGACAATGACGACCCAAAAGAATGAACTAATTATCTCCATAATAATAGTCTTTGATATATCTAGTAATTGCACTTGACGAAGACATAAATCCTTCAATCTCCCACTTGTTTGAGACAAGTGTGCAATATTAAAATTCCTTAAGTCAATGTGTACACGTATTTAAGCCTTCATTCACCAAATCACGTATTTGATGATCCCATCAATTCATAATTATTTTGGACATTTTATTTAACATCAAAACCATAATTAAATAGGAGAAATAATAAATTTCTGATTAAACATAATTCTGCAAGTTAAATTGTATTACATATGTAGTAAGTTTTCTCAAAACTAATACAAATTAAATTACATGACTTGCTTCAATCCAGAAGCCTTAGAGTGAGCCTCATGCTTGGGCTTTGGAAGGGGTTAGTAAGTGGATCAGCGATGTTCTCATCCGTAAGAACTTTGCGGATCTTGACATCCTGCCTGCCAACAATCTCTTGAATGAGGTGATACTTCCTCTCAACATGTTTGGATTTGTAATGTGACCTTAGCTCCTTTGATTGAGCAATGGCGCCATTGTTGTCACATAACAACTCAATTCCTTCTTGAGCATTAGGTACAATGTTTAGCTCTGTAAGGAACTTCTTGATCCAAACTGCTTCCTTAGCTGCTTCTACCGCAACCAAAATACTTATATTCTATCGTAGAGTCTGCGATAGTGCTTTACTTTGAACTCTTCCAGCTCACTGCTCCTCCATTCAAACAGAAAATGTACCCAGACTGGGATTTGAAATCATCTCTGTCTGTTTGGAAACTCGCATTTGTATAGCCCTTGACAACCAACTCATTTTCGCCACCATAAACTAGAAACATTCCTTTAGTCCTTCTCAAGTACTTAAGGATGTTCTTGGCAACTGTCCAGTGCGCTTCCCCTGGATTTGCCTGAAATTTTTCTATACATGCTTAGGGCATATGCAACATCCGGCATTTTACATATCATGGAATACATAATGGACCCTATTGCAGAGGCATAAGGTACACTAGCCATACGCTTCAACTCTTCTGGCTATCGAGGGCACTGAGTTTTACCAAGCGTAATACCATGAGACATGGGAAGAAATCCTCTCTTGGAGTCTTTTAGGTCGAACTTGTCAAGGATCTTATCAATATAAGTCTCTTGACTTAGTCCAATCATCCTTCAAGACCTATCTCGATTGATCTTGATTCCCAATATGTACTCGGCGTCACCCAAGTCTTTCAAGGAGAAACAACTCTTCAACCATTCCTTGACTAACTCAAGCATTGGTATGTCATTCCCCATGAGCAATATGTCATCTACATATAAGACTAAGAAAACTAGGCTGCTCCTACTAGACTTCTTGTATACACAAGGTTCTTCTTCGCCCTTGAGGAAACCAAACTGTTTGATTGCCTCATCGAAGCGAATGTTTCAACTCCTTGATGCTTGCTTCAATCCATTAATGGATTTCTGAAGTTTGCATACCTTTCCAAGATTTTCTTGATCTTCAAAACCCTCAAGTTGTGTCATATACACATCCTCCGTCAAGAACCCATTCAAGAAGGCGGTTTTGACATCCATTTGCTAGATTTCGTAATCGAAAAATACAACAATCGCTAGAAGAATCCGAATAGACTTAAGTATTGCTACTGGGGAAAAGGTTTCATCATAGTCTATACCATGAATTTGTCTGAACCCTTTTGCAAATTGTCTTGCTTTATAGATGTAGGCATTTCCATCTTTTTTGTCTTGATCTTGTAAACCCATTTGCTACCAATGGGTTTGACCCCATTAGGCAAGTCTACGAGGGTCCACACATCATTATCAGGCATGGAGTCCATTTCGGATTTCATGGCCTAAGCCATTTCTCTAAGTCGGGGCTCGCCAAAGCTTATTTGTAGGTTGTATGTTCCTCATTTTCCAATAGAAAGATTTCGAAATCCTCAGTTAACAGAACATCAACCAACTGTTTATTTCTGATTCTGCTAGACCTACGGAGGGTAGGAGCAACAGTAGAAATAATCTCTTCAACTCTTTGAAGATTTTCGCAAGAATTAGATTCAAGTGGGATGATAGGAGTCTCGTTAGTTGAATTAGTTTGCTCTGACGTACGATTTGTCAAATTAGCTGACTCATGCGCCCTCGCCTATGATGTGGTGTTATCCACATCCATTTGTTGCTTGTCTCAAATTTCTTCGAGTACCACTTTACTCCCACTTGGCTTTGTAGAAAGAAATCCTTTTTCTAAAAAGACACCATCGCGAGCAACAAACACTTTGTTATCTGCGCGATTGTAGAAGTAATACCCTTTTTGTCTCCTTGCGATAACCCACAATGAAACATTTGTCTAATTTAGGGCCTAGTTTATCGCCTAGTGAACGTTTTACAAAGGATTCACATCCCCAAATCTTGAGAAAAGACAACTTTAGAACTTTTCCAGTCCATAACTCATATGACATCTTCTCAACTGCTTTGGACAGGGTTTTGTTTAGTATTTTCGCAGCTGTCTCTAATGCATTTCCCCAGAACGATATGTGCAGATCAGTAAAGCTCATCATGAATCGAACCATGTCAAGCACAGTTTGATTCCTCCTTTCTGACACACCATTTAATTGTGGTGTTCCTAGATGAGTTAATTGTGAAAGTATTCCACAATCCCTCGGATAATCATCAAAATCTCGAGTCAAATATTCACCATCACTGCACGATCAGATTGTAGTGTTTTAATTGTCTTCCCAAGCTGATTTTGTACTTCATTCAGGAATTCCTTGAACTTTTCAAAGGATTCCGACTTAGTTTGTGCCTCATTAAGTAAATATAGCCATACCTACTTAAATCACTAG